TTTCATTTTAGTACAAAAACGTGGTATTGGAGCCTATGGAAAGGAGATGTCCAGTATATTTATGTTGATGGTCACAAACTTTAAACCAGGATTCTGGAGCGCAGAAACATGCACTCGTGTGCACACGGCACCTTGCTGTGCTTGAAAAAAGTCAACCACATGAAAGGTGCAACAAGGTTCAAAGGTCACTGAAATGCACCTTCTTAGATTTAGACACAAAACAGATTATGTCAGATAAAGTTAAGAACAACAGTTCCTACATTCAGCTAGTGCTGCTGGAAGCTGTATGAACTAGACAGAACCTCCCATCATAAGGAGAAACTTGAACTCAGCTGCTTATTGGCTGCTGGCTGGGAGGTGTGGACTCAGATGGGCAGGCAGAGCAGCTGCATTCAAGAGGTTTCATAATGTGGAATTATGTTTCTCCTCTTCTTACCCTGTGCTGCTCACCTCAAGATTACAGCTTTGGATTTAAAAGCACACAGAAATGTCACAGGCATAATTTGCTGCTCCTGCTGATCTACTTCTGCATGATTTGGTATCTGAACCTTAAGGGATTTCATCTGCAGCTGCTCCTCCTGCAAAAACACATTATGAATCAAACTGAGTGAAAACATTAGCCTGACTGTCATGTTTTTGTGCAGATCTTGTCAAATATTGATGTCTGTTTCAAAATGTAGCTTTACCTTTTTATATTTATATTTCATTTGAAATTTTTGTGTCTGATTGTCTCTGTTTAGATTTTTAACCTTTATTTATAAAATATAGAATTATCGCAAAGCATTCAAGTGTAGCATTGCATATTTATATTTGATTCTTCAGAAATGGGCTTTACTGTAAAACACTTAAAGGTCACCTCTACTCCTTCTTTCATTACATTTGCAGTGGTCTCTAGTAGGAATGGATGTCTTGTAAGTCGTACTTTGAGGAAAAAAGCTCTGGTGCACCTGTTTGAGGATGAAGAATTCAAGGAGAAAGTAGCTTCAGACAACAAGCTTTGAAGTATTATTTCCTGATCTTTGGACATCTCGCCACTGATTGGCTAACAGCAAAGTGACCTTTTCACTGACTCTGCTTTGCAACATTGATGTTTGATCTCCAGATATACCACAAGCCTGGAGGAGTTCTACCATGTGGTGGAGTTGGTAATTCTAACAATTAGCTTCTACTAGCCGAGACGTTCTCTGCTGTTTGTGCACTAAGACAGCCTTCCTGGTCGAGAGTCAAGATGGATAAGTCCATAAATGTTAAGTGAAAGTGTGATGTAGATCTGTCAGGCTTTTCAAATCATAGAGTCTAATTCTATCAGAAGCTAATGCAGAGAGTAGAGGTGAAAGACTCCTGTTCCCGTTCAACTCTGAGTGACAGATTATAATTAGAAATAATAATTTAAAACTTTTTTTCTGTGAAGTTGAGCTTTAAACTCCATCCTGATAATGTAGGTTTAACTTTATTCTACAATTTCTTTTAAGTGTTTAGCTTCAATATCATGTAGAGCCCTGCACTGAAGCCCTAGGCCCTCGGGTCGGGCTTCGGGCCAACGACTGTGTAATTACCTTGGACACGGGCCGGACCGGGCCGGGCGCCTTTATTTTTAATCAAATTCATTAAAAAAAATTTGAAACACTTAAACCAGAGGTCGGCAACCTGTTCCCATCAAAGAGCCATTATTACCCGTTTCCCACAGTAAAGAAAACACTGGGAGCCACAGCAGCTGCGGCGTTGTGGGCGGGGCCTACCCTCAGACAGCAGAGAGCTGCTCACAACAGGTGCCAGCAGCCAGTACCGGTCGCTCGTGTACGTCAAAGTTATCTTTCATGAGACGATAATCAATAAAACGATTTATATAAAGTGGATCCAGAAGTTGTAGCCCGTCTCTGCCTACAATATTTTGATATTTTTCACCCTGTTGGTGGTTTTACTGAGCAGGTGCCACTTTTGTCATACATTTCTTTTTAAAACATGTTTAGACTGTTCAGAATACAAATCCAGGCTCTGTCACGTTTGATTGTTGTAAATAAACTTTGTAGGTGGGGAAGGTCAGAAAAGGATCCGATCATTTTGTTTTTCCTTCATTTACAGTGACGGAGATAACGGTGCAGTGCGCCTGGCTCTGGTGTTAATCAAGTTTAATTTAATCTATTTTCACAAGAAAACAGAACAGTTAAAAGCAGGGCTTGTGTTGACCGGATAGTTCCCGTATTTGGCCGTTTATTTTGACGGAGAAAGAATAGAAAGAATTACCCCGGCACATGCAGACGAACTGACATTTTATTCTACACAAATCGCAGATGTAGCTAAATCGCTCAAGAAAAGATTCCCATCTGAACATCTGAGCTGGACACTGCTCAGCGCAGCTCGCTGTCAGCATGTACTACATAAGGTACACAGTGAGCTGAAGATGTGGAGAGGAGCTTGGAGCGCGTCGCAGAACCAGAGTGCATGCGGGAAGATTCCTCCGACTGAATTCAGTCTGATCTGAATCTGATGCGGCTCTCTGTGCTTGTAAAATAATGAATGGATATTTAAATTAAAAGCTTTATATTTTACTGCATTAATTTTACATCTGTATGCCAATTCTAAATGTAAAGATTGTCTGAGTAAACCTGAACAGTTCCAACCCAGTCTTACTGTGAGACCGGGTTGATGGGCCACACTTGTGCGTAATCATATGCACTTTCTGAGCTGAAGAGGATATGAGATTCTGGGATTCTCCTCAGACGGCTCCTGGATGTGTCGCCACATTGGAAACAGGAACATGCACTATTCAGCCAAAGTTTCATAATCAGGGAACATTTTCTAAGTGACAAGTCTCTCTGAGAGACAGGGTTTGGAAAACACTCGCTTCAGTGGGAGGAACCTTCCGCATGCGCTCCGGTTCTGCGACGCGCTCCAAGCCCCTCTCCACAACTTCAGCTCGCTGTGCACACATGCGCTGACAGCGAGCTGCGCTGAGCAGTGTCCAGCTCAGATGTTCAGATGGGAATCTTTTCTTTGGTGATTTATAGCTACATCTGCGGTGTGCGTAGAATAAAATGTCAGTTCGTTTGCATGCATGGTAATTCTTTCTATTCTTTCTCCGTCAAAATAAACGGTCAAATACGGGAACTATCCGGTCAACACAACACAAGCCCTGCTTTTGACTGTTTTATTTTCTTGTGAAAATTGTTGGAAAGAGATAAAATTTAACTTGATTACCACCAGAGCCAGTGTGCCGTTATCTCCGTGACGGTAAATGAGGGGAAAACAAATTGATTGGATCCTGCACGTCGTTTGACACATTGGTCAGGATTGACGCACTTTGTTTTCATTTAGTTGGTAAAAAAAAAGTCGGGCTCGGGCCGGGCCGGGCCAGAGAATCCTGAAAACCTTTTCGGACCGGGTCGGGCTGGGGCTCCACCTCCTCAGGCCGGGCCGGACACGGGCTCAGATTTTAGGCCCGTGCAGGGCTCTAATATAATGTATTTAGACTTCATTCAAAATACTTAAATTTAAATATTTGGCTTAACCTTTTTAATATTCATATTTTCTTTGAAACATTTAGGTCTATATTAATATGTTGAGCAGATGATAGAAGTGATACAAACAGAGATGAAAAAAATTAAACTATGGTTTGATGGAAACAAACTATCATTAAACAGTGATAAATCCTGTTTTATGATATTTAGTAATACAAATTCAAATGATGAAATTTTATTAAATATAGATGAGATTAATATTAAAAGAGTTCAAGAAGTCAAGTATCTGGGAGTCATCATTGATGAAAAACTGTCATGGAAACTACATATAAACAGTGTCAAAACTAAAATATCTAAAACAATTGCACTGTTACATAGAGCAAAAGGGTTGCTTGATAATAATTCATTATATTTGTTATATAACTCACTGATCGTACAAATACCTGAACTACTGCATTGAAATCTGGGGAACAACATATAAAACTTACACAAATTCCATTTACATCTTACAGAAAAAAGCAATAAGAATAATCACAAGGAGCAACTACAGAGATCCGTCCAATCCATTATTTATTAAATTAAAAACACAAAAATTCTATGATCTGGTGGACTACAATATTTTAAAATTTATGTATAATGCAAACAAAAGGAACGTACCTGCAGGATTAATTAAACGATTTTCAAAAAGACATAGCAAATATGATTTAAAGGGACATGAATTATTTAACATACCTAGACATCGGATACTCGTAAAGGAATATTGTGTCTCCATATATGGAGTTAAATTGCGGAATAAATTGAATACTGAACTCAAGAATGCAAAAACAATATTGACTTTCAAAAAAGAGATAAAAAATAAAACGATTAACTTATATAGATCTGTTACATAAATATGTGAGGGGAGGGAGGTGGGGGGGATTAAAGGAACAAAATATTAACCTAGTATGTGCTTGTATGTGTATATATGTATGTATATAAATCTGTAACTTAATGCTTCTTTCTGTGTAAATTGTTTTCTTTTTCTATTTTTTTCTCAAATTCATGGGTTGAGATTTTGTCGGCCAACAAGTCCAGGAACTATATTGTTCAATTTCCTTAAGAATCATATGATTATTTCATTTGTATTAATGCTATTTTAGTTAAAAGGGGCAGACAACATAAGTTTTTCTTCTTTCTGTCCCCTTTTTCATTTTGGCTTGCAGCAATTTAGTTCTGATTGTATTTTTATTTTAATGTCAATAAATGGAAATAAAAGATTTAAAAAAAATATATATATATATATATATATATATATATATATATATATATATATATATATATATATATATATATATATATATTTGGATAGCATTTGGAATTTTTGGCCTTTAATGTGTACATTTAGAAATATATATTCATATTTAGAAATTTAATTTCTATATTTATTTCTAAAAATATAGTTTCTACATTGTTATTTAAAGCTAAATGTGGTCAAATATGTCCTTTTAGTTCTATTTTTTTTTATGTTTTCATTTATTTATAACGCATAGTTTTTCAATCGGAGCCCCATACCTTTGAGCCGCAGAATTGGCTGACCTGAAGTCAGATCAGCGTGAGAAGGGCGAAAGGCTCGGGCCACAGCTGCTGATATCTGACAGCTGGATTTCTGGGCCTTGCTAGCAAATCCGGATCTTTTCTGCTCGGAACTGTTCGGTTGTTTTTCAGTCACCACCCTTCCTTCTCCGGGGTCCCGTCTCTCCGCAGACTTTCTCCTTTTCCGAGGAGTGTTTCCGGGGCTGTCCTTCCGAACCGAGTAAGTCTTTACACGTGGAAACCGAACTAACTCAGCAGTCAAACCGGCGCGTTTTACAGCTGATTTATAGATAAAAACAGCAGCAGGTTGTGCAACGTTGTTGACATTCTGGTGCCTTTCCCTCCTACACTTTGCTGTTTCGCGATGTGTTTAAAGATTAACCCAAGACCGAGGCGCACAGACAAACACTAAAGTTGCACAAGTTTGATCTATTTTTTACATGTTTCCACTCTCTGCATGTTATTTTAAGTGTCTTTCCTTACCTGTCCGTACCAGATTATGTTTCTGTATATGTCATTCGAACCGATATTCTACAACCTGATCTAAAAAGTAACTAATCCTTATATTTAGCTATTATCTTGGTGTTACACTCTTGGTGACACATTGGTAGTATTTTGTTTTTACCATTTGGGGTCAAATGGTCATGATTTTCTGCTACAGAGCAGAACTTGTGGTTCCATCAGCTACAGTGAGTGTTCCAGGTCCTGAAGCAGCAAAGCGGCCCCAGACCATCACACTACCACCATGTTTGACTGTTGGTATGGTGTTTTGTTTGAAATGCAGTGTTTTAAACCAGATCTAATGAGAGAGAAAGAAAAGTTTAACTTTGGTCACAGACCACAGAATATTTTCACACAATTTTGAGGATACTATTTATGGTAAATGTGAGACAGATCTTTCTGTTGTTTTGGGTCAGCAGAGGTTTTGGTGTTGTTTCCTTTTTTTGCACCTTGTGTCTCTTTAATATTGTTGAATCATGACCTCTGACTTCATAATAGCCACATGAGACCTGCAGGGTTTTAAATGCTAATCTGGGTTACTTTGTTGTTGAATTTCTTTAGAACACGAATTGTTATGTTGCTTTTTGAGATATCTCAACCCACTTCATACTTCAGGACACATTCAACTGAAGTGATTTAGTAATTCTACAGGTCTGGTAGTTATCAGCTTCCTTAATAATGATATTATTGATCATTCATAGTTTAATGCGTGGTCAATTACAAGTTCTCATAGAACCAGGCTGGTTTGGATAGCTGTTGGTTCCTTAATAAATTGCCGTAATTTCCGGATTATAGAGCATACCTCAATATAAGCCGCACCAACAAAAAAAAAAGGTTTTCTACACACACACGCCGCACTCAAATACAAGCCGCGGCGCAATAGCCACATGCAGGTCTCCGGTGCACAGCGCATGTATGGTCATAACATACGATAATTAGACAGAAAGACGCTACGCGGAGGTTTTTCGTTGTTGTTTTAATTCAACAAAACGAATTTTAAACACGGGTGAATGTGCCTGCAAGTTTGGAAATGAAAACAGCACTGATAGCATTCATATTTCTGGATGGTTATAAAATAAAAACAGAACTGACACGTTATTACCGGTAATTTGCATGCATGTTTAGAAGAAAAGAACAGCGCTGACACAGCATTAATAAGCCCTGGATGATTAGAAAATAAAAACTGCACACAAAACATGCCTGGTTAGTAAATAAAACACACTTGCCTACCAGAAAGAGTCATTCGCTCTCATCTTCCTCTTGCGCACTAAAGCCATTAAAGTCCTCTTCTTCAGTGTCGGAGTTGAACAGCCTCAGAAGAGCTTCGTCACATACCTTTTCTGTGGCGATGTCAGTGTCGCTGTCCCTGTTGCTGTCATCATCCCCGGGTGAAGCTGGCTTGAATGAGTTCTTCCCGCTGCCGTCTCCAGCGCCGAACCATGGATTCATTCATGCCAAGCTTACGTGCGGCAGCACTGTTTCCCTCCTTCACTGCCAGATCGATGGCCTTCAACTTAAATGCGGCAACGTATGAACTCATACATGTAGTTACTATGATAAGGGGGTATGGATTTGAAAAAAATGTTTCGTCGTGCCGGCTGCTTGCATTTGCTAAATTAAAATGAGCACTTTCTTCGATTTCCACTTTTGACTTCCACCTGTTTCACTTTCTGCTAAAGCGCCCCCTGGCAGGTGAAGGAAAATCTTCAGTAAAGCTGCACCTCATTATAAGCCGCATGGTTCAAAGCGTGGGAAAAAAGTAGCAGCTTATAGTCCGGAAAATACTGTAAACGACATATCTGTGTCTGATATTGAAACCTATCTGAATTATTAGGGTAAGTCTAGATAAGTTACGCGAAAAACTAATCTACGTAAAAGCAAGTATTTTTTCATAGCACTGTAGAGTCTGACTGTTATGGTTTTTCAAGACCTATCTTGATACCAACTTTTGGAAATCAGCTCAGCCAGTGGCCGGTGTTTCATGCTGATTTGGTCTTTGTTTCTGCTTTCATGCTGAGTTCATTCTTGCTGAATCATAACAAACATAATGTAACATTGGTCGGTGTCATGTGGCATTTCATAGCAGTGGTGGCTGATGAAATTTTTTATGGCGAGGCACATTTTAACTGATGTCGAGTCGATAAGAACATGCCTGCTGAGAGGTTTGCATGCCCTATGCTCATTAATAACGAACCAACTTTTTAATATTAACACATTACCGGCTGCTATGCCTATGCGATAGGTGGAGCAAATTGCTAACAGCTACCACCCAGCAAGAGCAAGGGCACTGGAACTAGCAATTACAGTGAACTTCTTCACTAAATAACCGCACGGCACAGTGATCCCATTCCACGAGCTGGAACTGTTGTTACTCACGATGCAAAATTAACACCAACCAATAATATCACCATCAGAACATTAAACAAGAGACTAACAACAACCAACACATCCCTAGTAATACACTCCAACAAAACACTCGAAAACACACCAAAATAGAACAAAAAACTGAAAACAGACTACCCACAATGCACCTCGCCCACTGCCTGTTCCACAGTGGGCGGGGTCACTACACAACGGACTACAAGTGACAAAGTTGTTCTAAAGACAGGCTTAATATTCATCAATATATGCAAAGTCAGAAGCAAAGTAAATAAAGTTAATTTTATTAATTTAAAAGTGTAAATTCAGTCTTGCCTTTGTAGGTTCATGGTCTTAATATAACATGTTATAGTACAAAAATCCACTTCTTCACTTGCTGGAGAGTGTTTATAGTCTCCGATGCCACATTCCTTCAGTTTTTGGTTCTTCCTAATAAAAAAACTCCATGAGGCGTACTCGGCTGCTCTACAACAACAAAAGATGGGGAGAATTCCAGTTCTGTCCTGACCTGAGCTCAGACCGCCCTGCCGATCTTCCGCACATGTTTTCGCAGTTGCAATACTTCTGCACCCTAAGGCTTTCCTTTAGCTTTGCTAAATACAGCATAGGTCTATGGTAAATATTGCTGCGCCCAAAAGGAACAGGAACTACATCACAGGTTGATTCATTCATGGCAAAAGAGTGAAATAACATTTTTAAACTACACTTAAATACTGATTATATGCAGCACTTATAGTATTCTTTCTGTGAGCTGGTGGAGCGGCTCCCTAAGGCCCCTATAGACGAGCCGCCACCGTTTCTTCGGCTGAACGAGCTGCTACACAAGCTCCACTCTTACTGGTTCTTTAATCATAACATAGCACAACTTTTGCAAATGAAACAGCATTATTAGATATATTTTACTTTTTTTGCCCCCTTTGTGGTAAGTTTTTCTTATCTATATTGCATTGGCCCGGCTCTGTGTGTCTGTAGCAATAATGGCTTTCCTTGGGAGTGTGGTTCGACGGGTGGCATCAGCGCTGCGGTCTCCTATTCCTCTGCTGTGTCGAACAAACCCTCGGACCTACAGCTCAGAGCACACCAAGGAAAAAAGTGTGCCCTATGAGAAGACACTCAGACAAGAGGATGGAGCCATCTTTGGACCCACCAAACCTTTACCAAGGTCAGATTTATGTGTGTTCATTTAAAGGGGACAAATTATGCAAAACACAACCTTGTGCGTCATTGTGTGCTGTCATGTGAGTCTACTGCCTCTGTAAACACTCCAAGCTTGAAAAAAAAAACATCCATCCATTTTCTGTCTGTTTGGTTTTTGGAATTATGTGCCTAAAACAGTCAATTTCAAAAAGTCCCCGTTTGTGATGTCATAATCAGGGAAACTAGAATATAACCATCTCTAAGAGAGAGCTGCAGCTTGACAAGTGGATATCAGAGCATCTCAGCTTATAACAGGTGGATTTAGAATGGTTCATCTGAATATTATTATTTACAAATATGAGCCAGGCACGTTCAAACAGTTTCATTCCCGGTAGGCTGCAGTGATCATAATTTATAATTAGAAGGATAACAAAGGTACCTAAATCAGGCCAAAGATTTATGGTGAAAAGGACCTTTAGAATTGTTTAAGAAAATGAATTTTTAGAGGACATGAAAAATGTGGATTAGAAAAGAGTAAATCAGGAGCGTGACCCAATTAGTGCTGTGGAGGTTTTCAATCAGTTAATAAAAAACGTGGGCGACGGTGGCACAGGAGTTAAGTGCTCGCCCCGTAATTGGAAGGTTGCAGGTTCGAGTCCCGCTCAGTCTGTCGTTGTCGTTGTGTCCTTGGGCAAGACACTTAACCCACGTTGCCTGCTGGTGGTGGTCGGAGGGACCGGTGGCGCCAGTGCTCGGCAGCCTCGCCTCTGTCAGTGTGCTCCAGGGCAGCTGTGGCTACATTGTAGCTCATCCCCACCAGTGTGTGAATGTGTGTGTGAATGGGTGAATGAACGATTGTGTTGTAAAGCACCTTGGGGGGTTCCAGGACTCTAGAAGGCGCTATATCAAATACAGGCCATTTACCATTTACCAATAGAAAAGCTTTTAGATAAACATGCTCCAGTAAGGAAGCTAGCTGTAAGAAGTACCTCGACCATAGGCGTCATTTTAACCGGGGACGCCGGGGACATGTCCCCGGCAAAATTCGTGATTGGCAGCTGTGTCCCCCCCACTTTCAAAAAAGCCTGCTGATGAGGAATTTTTGTTTTACCATCTCAGATCTTATACCAGGGGTCGGTAACCTGTTCCCATCAAACAGCCATTATTACCCATTTCCCACGGTAAAGAAAACACCGCAGCAGCCGCAGCGTTGCGGGCGGGGCCTACCCTCAGACAGCAGAGCGCTGCTCACAACAGGTGACAGCAGCCGGGGGCATCGCACCCGTGGGGGATTCAACACCCACACTTTTCCAGCTGTTTTGCTCACCTCCACACCAGTCTGGTTTCTTTACGTCGCACTCACTGTTTGCCTCATCTCCTTCTTCACCTCCCAGCCGATGTCGGGTTTCCAGGAGAGCAGGAGAGGGAGGGACGGAAGAGCTCGACTGAATTCATAATTTTACATCTTGACATTAGCTGTACAAAGTCTGAGTTTGATAAAGTGAAGAACAACAATTTGCAGAGGTTTATAACTGGCGCGGCGCCAGGTTTTCATTTTTGGATGGGCCACGGTAATTTTGGACGGACCTTAATAAGCAGTGATTTAAGTGAAGCAGGCAGGTCGCGCTAGAAAATTTAGTTTAAAAAGACGTCATAAATGTGTTCCCCCGTCATTTTTATTTCTAAAATATGAAGTAAAAACTCACAATTTAATTTTCATTCATTTGTCATTAATATTTAGTCTACAACCGTGCGTTAAGTGGACCAACTTCCAGTAAAAGCAAAGCATCCAGTCCACCTCTCCAAATGCGTAAAATGTGCATCAGCCGCTAGTTAGGCGTGCCGCGCGCACTATCAGCTGATCAGCCCAGACAAAAGCAGAGCAAACAGAGAAAGAATAGAGGATGATTGTGTCTGGATGTGGATGGAGATTACATTTTACAGCAGCCTGATCATCATTTAAATACGTAAACCATCACCTGTCTTCTAGTCCACGCTATCAGCATTATTTTAATTGGTGTGTGTGTGTGTGTGTGTGTGTGTGTGTGTGTGTGTGTGTGTGTGTGTGTGTGTGTGTGTTTTCCACTTCAAACACTGGTCTAACCAACCAGACCAGCGTGTCCAGTAACACATTAATGTTCCAATTAAACTTGATTAACCCCAGAGCCGTGCGCACTGCACTGTACTGACTGTAAATGAGGGGGAAACTATTTAATCGGATCCATTACTTTTCAACATGGTTTAATGTAAAGTTTCATTCAGTACAAACTTTAGTTACACCAATCTAACGATACAGAGCCTAGATTTGTATTCTGAACTGTTTAAACATGTTTAAAACGGAGACATGCGTGACGCGTCTAAAATTCGTACCTGCTCCGCTATTACGGAAATTAAACTAACAAGGTGAATAACATGAAATTATTTTAGGCACAGACAACATCCCCCACACTTTTGAAAAGCTTGCAACGTGCCTGATCGCTCATGTACGTCTTAATTATCTTTCATCAGACGATAATCAATAAAACGATTTATATAAAATGGATCCAGAAGTTGTAGCCCGTCTCTGCCTTCAATTTTTGGTATTTTTCACCCTGTTGATGGTTTTACTGAGCAGGTGCCACTTTTGTCCTACGTTTCTTTTTAAAACATGTTTAGACTGTTCAGAATACAAATCCAGGCTCTGTCACGTTTGATTGTTGTAATTAAACTTTGTAGGTGGGGAAGGTCAGAAAGCAGCTCAGAAGCGCCGATATGATTACGCACAAGCGTGACGCGTCAACCCGGTCTCACAGTAAGACCGGGTTGGAACTGTTCAGGTTTACGCAGACAATCTTTACATTTAGAATTAGCTTACAGATGTAAAACTAATGCAGTAAAATATAAAGCTTTTTATTTAAATATCCATTTATTATTTCACACGCACAGAGAGCCGCATCAGATGGATGGAAGAGCCGCATGCGGTTCCAGAGCCGCCGACCCCTGTGCTAGCCTACTTTATTGTCCCCAGCAATTTTTAAACCCCACTCAAGTGTATGGTTATTGTCCCCAGCAATTCTGAAAACAAACTGACGCCCTTGACCTCGACCCCCTGGCTAGACCAAGGGTTGAAGGAGTTTATGACTCAAAGAAACACAATTAAAGTGAACACAATTAAATATGATGATACAGCATTATGGAATAAATATCGCAAATTGAGAAATTATGTTACCAAACTAAATAAACGTAAGAAGATAATTTATTATCAAAATAAAATTAAAGAGGCAAAAATGGATAATGCATGTATATGGGGTACATTAAATTAACTATCGGGAAAGAAAGCTAAAACAATTCCACTTTTTTTTAGAAGTCAGTGGGGTCTTTGTTACAAAACCCAAACATATCGCCACACATTTAAGCAAAATCTTTAAGGACAAAATTCAAAACTGGAAATCTTCTATGAACCAACAACAAGATAATGACATTTCATGTAGAATAATAAAAAGAATGATGGGGAGTAAAGGATGTACATTTAAATTTGAAAATATTACTGATCAGACTGTTAAGAAAATTTTGCTAATAAGTAAAGATACACAATCAGGCATTGATAATATTGAGGTAAGGCTCTTGAAGTTAGCTGCAAACTTTATTGTTTCCCCGGTTTTGTATATAATTAATTTAAGTTTGGAGCAAAGTGTATTTCCTTCACAATAGAAAAAAGCAAAAATTATTCCGCTGATTAAAAACAATAAAGAGCCTTTTTCAGGTCAAAATAGTAGACCAATCAGTTTATTACCTGCCTTGCGTAAAATCATGGAGAAGGTAGTTTATGAACAAATACAGAATTATTTCTTGGTGAATGGGTTAAATACAAAATATCCACATGCATATTAAAGGGAGCACTCTACCACCACAGCATTAACTCAGATCACAGATGATTGGTTGCAAGAAATTGACAATAAAAACCTAGTTGGTAATGTGCTGCTTGATTTTAGTGCAGCTTTTGATGTTTTAGACCATAATATGCTTCTTAAAAAATTAAGGTGTTGTGGATTGGAATCTTCTTCTGTAAAATTGATTGACAGTTATCTCTGTGATTGAGAGTATACAGTTTATTTTAATGGCAGCTACTCTGAGGCAGAAAGGGTGTGTTGTGGATTGCCCCAAGGTAGTTGTTTAGGACCTTTGTTGTTTTCCATTTTTTATGAATGGCTTGCCTATGGTGTTGGACCATGCCACCATGGCAATTTATGCAGATCTAAGGTGTGTTCATGCTGTGTCGTGGTTCTAATTCCATGCTGTCGTTCTTTTTAAAACACAGAAACGGTTTCGTTACCTGTTTTGTCGCTACGTTTCGTCTGCGGCTGCAGACTTCCTCAGGCTGACGCTGATGGTGGCGTCACTTCCTTCTCCGTTTATTCGCGGGCAGCACAGGACGTTGTTGCCCTCTGCTGCCCGCTCTCCCCTCTCCGACAATGCAGTCCCATGTGCGGTTCAACGTGTAAACTCCATGTTCATGGTCCCACATCCACGTCTCCTTATCTCGATTGCTTCTTTAATCCATCTTTTGTATTTTTGTTGTTCGGTGTTTATGATCCTTGTGTTGTCCCAGTCCATTATATGGTTTTCTCTTATGCAGTGATCTGTTACGGCTGACTACTTTATTGTGCTTTCTGCTTCTTCTTTTGCTGTTCTTGTGTGTTTTCGACTTGTTTCTTTCTCGCACTCCTTTCTCTGTTCTATTGTTCGTGTGTTGAGTTGGCGTCCGGTTTCTCCTATGTATGTTTTATTGCAAAGTTTGCATGGGATTTCGTAAATGACTCCGCATTTAAGTCCAGCTGATATTTTGTCTTTTGGGTGCACTAGTCTGTTTCTAACTGTTGTGTATGGTTTCGTTGGTGTGTTTATGTTGTGTTTTTTCATTGTTGCTCTTATTTTTTCTGTTATGCCTTTGATGTATGGTAGGGTTATCACTGGTTTTGGTTCTTGTCTTTCTGGGTTTCTGGTTCTTTGCTTAGGTTGTTCTTTTCTTTCTGTTTTTGTTTGCCGTTTTCCTTTGTTTATTGCCCATGTCGGGTATCCGCAGGTCTTTAAAGCGTGTTGTATGTGTTTGTCCTCTTGTTTACGGTCTCTTTCTTCTGTTATTATGTTTGTTCGGTGATATAGGTCAGCTGATGTGGTTGTGATCGGAGGAGGCAGTCTTGGCTGTCAGACCATCTACCACCTGGCTAAAATGGGGATGTCCAACGCCGTTCTGCTGGAGAGAGACCGGCTGACTGCTGGCACCACCTGGCACACTGCAGGTTACCAACCGTTACCTGACAGGAGAAGTCAGCCATCCCAAACAAACCCTGCTTCCTCATTCTCCCAGGTCTGCTGTGGCAGCTCCGTCCAAGTGATGTCGAGGTGGAGCTCCTGGCGCACACCAGGAATGTGATCAGCAAAGATCTGGAGGAGGAGACAGGTCTCCACACTGGCTGGATCCAGAATGGAGGACTCTTCATTGCGTCCAACAAGCAGAGACTGGATGAGTACAAGCGCCTCATGTCGGTGAGAGGACGGATAACAATCCCATTTGTTTAAATGTCAGTGAAAACGTCAGAAAACTTGTGAGCCATGCATTTAACAGGCCCAACGTCAGAGCTTTGTGGCCCCTAAAGCCGTTTCCATAGTAATAGGTGTCAGCCAATAAAATTAGGTGTCAGTTTGAGATTTCTTCCTGAACAACAAAAAGAGATTTCAGCGTTAGGAAGCTGTGAGGCTCGATGAATGGAGAGGTTTTTATTTTAGTTTTAAATATAGTTTAGGATCTAAATCAACCATAGATGCTATTTTTATTAGTCACAATGTAAAATATTATTAAATTACTTTAGTGTGTGACGTGTGCCCCCGTGTAAACAACAGCAACTCAGTGTTTTAGAGATAAAACCTATGAAACCATAAACTAAGACATGTCAAGTTTTGTTTGTTGCCTTTTTGAAGATTCTTTTTTTAATAGTGTAATGCTTTTAAGGAGCATTTCCCAATCAAAATGTATTTAAAACTGTACTAAATCTTTCAAGTAATTGTTATGCTGTGTTATAATTAATTTGGATGGCTAGCAAACACCTGAGTTAGCTTCGTTCTGCTCAGGTTCCACTGATTGCCTTTTCCTGTTCATTTTCTTTTTCCCTGTCCTCACATCTTTTGATCACAATTTTTGCTTTTCCTATTTTTTATGATATTTTTAGTATTTTTTTGTTCTTAAGGTAAGGATTTGTTTATTTATTCGCCATCACAATATTAGTCTCTGTTATCGTGCATCGCGGGTTTTCCTACTATTGTGCAGCCTTAATACAAATACAATATATTTATTTATTTATTTATTTTTACTTGATGACAAAGCCTAAAATACTATGTAGAATTTCATCATTAGAACTGGTCTCTCACAAAGAGAAAGACATCCAGATACTCACTAATGAAATAACCTTCTCAAAACTTGTCTCAACTTCTCTTTCTGTTTTAGTTGGGTAAAGTTTATGGGATCGAGTCTCACGTCCTTTCACCAGCCGAGACAAAGGACCTGTATCCCCTGATGAATGTTGATGATCTGTATGGAACGCTTTATGTTCCTAAAGATGGCACCATGGACCCTGCAGGCACCTGTACCACCCTCAGCAGAGCTGCCACCACCAGGGGTGCCATGGTACTGAGCACTGATCCACTAAGCTTGTTTTACTTACTGAACCAGCCTGCCTCGTTCTGGCTGCAGACATGTTGTAATTGAAACAAACAATGCTTGTACACAGTATGTTCTTGTAATCCTGATAGTTCAGATGTTGGAACCCCTCTTATTTGAACACATCAAATTGCTTTGATTGTCTTCTCTTTGCTGCTGTCTGATTTAGTGCTGAACAGTAATTCAGTAACATATCGCTATCGATAGATGTGACTGGTGAGATAGAAAAACGGGGTAATAAAAACTTCAATATTATTTCATTATAGCCTATCAGAGAGCTTAATGCTGGAGTCATTACTTACTCCCAACCAATCAAAAACACAGAGCCAGGCACGCTCCGTCACCAAGCCCTCTCATCCCAAACCATAACAGAAAGCATGTGACTTGAACGAGATATGTCACAGCAAGAAGAGGCAGAGAAAAATATGTCCCATAGAAAGGTTACAGTAGTTCACCATCATGGCATATTTAGATTTTTACAAATCTGATTAAAAAATAAAATAAAAAACATGTTTGTTTCAGAAATTTTGAAGCAATAAAAACCAAGTCTGGTAACTCAACCAACTTGTTTCATCATAAAGTAATGACATATACAGTTTCTACATTTTTTAAAATAGTTATCGCTAATTATTTTTAGTGATAAATATTTGTTATTTTTTAATGATGTACTTTATTCTATATCGTCCAGCCCTAGTCTGGTTAATGTTTGTGAATGAGGGATGATGGTAGAAATAGCCCTTTATCTGAATAAGATTACACAGAGCAGAGCGCCACAGAGTAAACCACAGCAAAACAGAATAATAAACCAGCAGCTGCTTCGTAACTGGTCTTTTATTCTAGAAATTAAAGGAACTTAGAACACATTTCTTTTTATTCTGTACCTATAATGTGAACTATGCTTCGGTAAAATGACCATGGTAACCATACTTTACAGCTGCTAGAGTGAGAACACTTAGAGAATTTATAAAACATTCTCAAATAGAAATAAGGAAAGGGAAGTACCAATGTGAGTTCTTTATGCACTAATGTGACAAGCCCAATATTAACAAGCTGATTTTCTTGTGTCTTTGTGATTATTTCCCCTCTGGATGGAATCAGGTGATTGAGAACTGCCCTGTGACCGGTATTCAAGTGAAAACAGATGACTTTGGGGTCAAGAGGGTTAAGGCAGTAGAGACTCCCCATGGGACCATTGAGACTCCTTGTGTGGTGAACTGTGCAGGTGAGATTCAGGTGAAACTCTTTTTGGTCAAAAGCATCTTGTTGCTTCAGGGGTAATAATATTCCAATCAGGGGACATATTTTCTCACTTTTTTAAAGAAAGATGACAATATTTTGTATAATAGCTGTCTCTTGTTACATGTAGGCGTGTGGGCCACTAAGCTGGGGGAAATGGCTGGAGTCAAAGTTCCTCTTATAGCAATGCATCACGCCTACGTAGTGACAGAGAGGATAGAAGGCATCCAGGTAGGACCGTCTTCCATGTGGGATCTCAAGGCACTTCACAAAGTAAACATTCCAGTACAGTTCAGTTCATTATTACAATCAGTAAAATGTTCACTATATAAGTCACGTGACTGACAGGTGTCAGTGACTTTACAGCAATCCTCATACTAAGCAAAGCATTTTGCGACAGTGGAGAGGAAAACTCCCTTTTAACAGGAAGAAACCTCCAGAGGATATTGGCTCAGTATAAGCAGCCATTCTCCACGACTCACTGGGGATCGAGAAGAGAGAGCAGACACACACACACACACACGCACACACGCACGCACACACGCACGCACACACACACACACACACACACACACACACACACACACACACACACACACACACACACACACACACACACACACACACACACACACACAGACCCCCCTCCCTTACACACACACAGACAGACAGACCCCCCTCCCTTCCGCACACACACACACACACTTACCAAGTACTGTTTCTATGGCTCCATTGTGATTTCTTAGTAAATATTCCATTTACTAAGAAATAAATTGTCTTTATCTTAGTGAGTCTATAATTAATTCAACAGGTAAACTAGTATTGGCACATTCCATGTCAGTGAGAGTAAAGTGTTATTATCAAGAGAGGAAGAATGTTTAAGTGGTTAGCAGCAGTGTCAGCTGATGGCTCCCTCCATGAGGCCACCACAGCTCAGCACAACACCACTGTAGCTTCTTATGGGGAGAAAAACACTTGGAGAGAAAATAAACATATCCGAAAATACTTTGAGAGCTGCTACTCCGCTTGGTTGACAGCTTCTGTACATCTCCACTTTCTGTCTCCATCAAAGGTTATTTGATAAAAAGACAAGCAGGGTTTGTTAGTGCAGCCCCTATTCCACATGTTTTAGTTTTTTCCCTGCTCCATCACACCTGATTCTACCATTGAACAGCTCGTGAAGCTCAGCAGAAGAATCTTAATCACCTGCTGGTGTGTCGAGCAGAGAAACCTCTATATTTTAGAAGCACGGGTATACGTGTTCGAATGAAAGGATCTTTGTTGAGCCCTAGGCTATTTATTTATTTTTTATTTTTATTTTTTTAATTTATTTATCTTTTGAGAAATCTGCTCAAAAATGACATGCCCACAGATGAGTATCTTTCTGTAACCACAAGGCCTGTTTGATTGCTTTTGGTCATTTTAAAGTAAAATCTTGTGGGATTTGTTCAGATGTGTAATTATTAGTAAAAGTGTCACTGAATGAATGAAAAATAGTGCATGAAAAATATTTGATTTCAGGAGGAAAACATCTTTAGAAAAATGCAGCAGTAGCTTCAAACTTCAACAACTTCATAGCCCTACATCTTGACATCAGCTGTACAAAGTTTGAGTTTGATAAAGTGAAGAGCAACAATTTAACAGAGGTTTATATACAAACTCTTCAGCGCTCTCTCAAATGGCACATCTGTGCCAAATGTATTTGGAATTCAATAACATTTCTTCCATGGACTTGTTTCGGTTATCGGACCTTCTAGACTTCTTCGTTAACATTTTAAAGTCATTCAGTGGCAAAGTTTTTTGAATGTTTTTGTCACCGGCATTGGCTGAAGCTCCATTATGCGCGTGAATTTCTCAGGAACTCATTGGATTATTTTGGTGGCTCCACCTTCGAGTGAAACCTTTGAGCCAGTAGAATCCCATGCTGTTTAGTTTTTTTTCCGGCTGGCTTTTGTAAACCAATCACAGGAGGAGAATCAATGTAAACCAGGAAATGATGGAACTTGGCGTCGGAGAGTTGTAAAGTTTCTCCAGCTGGTGAAAACAGCTCAAAACTGTCAGAAACAGCTCAGTTTGACGATTGAGACAAAGAATTACACAAAATGAGTGGATTTTTAAAATTATAACACAGATTATGACTGTAAACCAGCAAAGGTAAGACTGAATTTATGCTTTTGACGTCATGCAATTGGCTTTGTTTGGATTCTGTGTTAGCAGTTAGCTTTATAGGCTTTGCATGTAGAGTAATGGTATTTTTATTGTTGGAAAGAGAGTCTGGGCTTTATTTAACCCTCCCACTGTCTTCATGGGTGACCCCGCCAGGAAAGTTGACCATTGAGCAGGGTTTATCCTTTGATGTCCACGTGGCAGGGGTGAGGTGGTGCTCACTCCTCATTCCTGCCACATGGACCTCAAGGGATAAACCATCAATCCTACTCAATGGTCAACTTTCCTGGCGGGGTCACGCATGAAGACAGTGGGAGGGTTAAACAACTGCTGCTATGGATAGGATCATATTGCATTGTTGCTATTGTGTGTCTTTCTTGATCGGTGTAGTTAGCGATTTTTTTATGGGCTTTTCAATTAGTGGCTTATTGTTTGCATTTTGTGTTGTTGAGATAGAAAACGTGGATTGTATTGTTTAGATTAGCCTCTTCCAGTTATGCGCGTGTGCAGTTTGCATATATTGGTGAACATTAAGCATGTTTTTAGTATGATTTTGTTACAACTTTGTTACCGGAACAGCGCTTGGACCCGGTACCAGGATCCGTTGGGTTCAAGTTCCATTCCACCAAACATGTATGTCTGTGTCCAGATGCAGATGGAAAAAGTGTGTTAAAGAAGAGAAATCTCGAAATGAGACATTCACTAGAGCAAATGCAGAACTAAGGACATAACATTAGACCCTACCCATCCAGCCCATTAAACGTTCACTCTCCTTTCCTCAGGATTGAAATGGAGCAGCCTCACAGCCTGGAGAACAATGTCTTGGTTATTTATTTACTGCGGCTGAGCTGAGAAACACGTTTTGCTCTCCCTTATCTCAAATATGAATGACAATAAATGAATCTAAAAATCTAATCTCTCAGAAAGACCACAAGCAACATGAAGTTGATTAATTATTCTCTGTGTCATGTCACTTCTGATTATTGGCAGAATTTGCACAAACAAAATCACATCCAGAATTAAGTCATACATTAAGCTGAAGTGGCCAACAGGGGGCACTGTGACCTAACATGTCATCTTTTATTTGTTTAGACTGCTGTTGATGTTTGTGTGGGTGAAGAAAATGGAAATTAATTTGTCCCTATTAATACCTTTGCTTGCACTGGACGACCCTCTGACAGCTAAACAACATGTACCAGAGATGTGTTGGAACACAGTTTTATTGTGTTTCTCTGCACTTGTCAGTTTTGTGTTTGTCTCACGGCCGACTGTCCTCATTCCCCTGAGGCTGGTGGTGTTAGGATGGGATGTCAGAGCTTTGCTGTAGTTTAGGAGAAGCTTAAGCAGCATTACAGCTACAGCATGTACACAGACATCAGCACACACACAAAACCACACACTCCAACTCTCGGATGTCATCGGGAAATCTGTTCCCAGCTGAGTGTGCAACTTGTCAGGTCAAACACTTCTAGCTGACCGTGTGTTTGCGTGTGACGAGCAGCATTTATATCCCAGCACACGAGGAATGCACTGCTCAGTATTGATCACATGGAGCTGCTGCTCGGTGGAGAGGAGGACCACGGAGGAGCAGTTTAGCTTTTAGCATTTAACTGCTTGGTTTTTTGTTTTTGTTTTAAATGTCAGCATGTTCACTGGTATTTTAGTTTTGTAGCCAGAAACCCCCCAAAACTCCAAAATCCTGTGACAGAAAGCATAAAGAACAGACAACACAGTCAGTCTTTTCTTCTGTTTATACATGTCTATGTTTCCACATACAAGATAAATTATAGAACAAATCATTTTAAAAGTATAAATTAGTATTATTAGTATTAAAATATTTGTAAGTACAAAATATTTCTAATAGTTTTCATGGTAAGGTTCTTTTTCCAAACAACGCAACACTATTGTCAACAATATTGTAAATGAATAAAGATGAAGATGTATTAAATTAAATATAAGCTACATGTTATGAAAATGGTTTGAACTAAAGTGAAAAATGTAGAAAACACAAATAACATTTCTTTCTGCTTTTCTGATTCACTTTTATATATTTATGTTTATTCATTTAGCAGACGCTTTTATCCAAAGCGACTTACAATTCATAAACTACAGGGCATGTTGTGATCTGTGGGGGAAACCGGAGTACCCGGAGGAAACCCACGCATGCATGGGGAGAACATGCAACTCCACGCAGAAAGGCCGCAGCCGAGTTTCGAACCTGCGACCTTCGTGCTGCGAGGCAACAGTGCTAACCGCTGCGCCACCATGCAGCCCATATATTTGCTCATAGAAGTTAAGTTTTACATCAGGAGTGAATACCTGCAGGTAAAATGATGCTCTGCTGCATTTTTTGTTAATAAAATTACAAAAATGTTGGAGGTTCATCCAATTTCCTTCACTTTTGTTGAGCTGTGCTTAGATCAGCTGATCCGTGACGATCTGACCCACTGCTGCGCACACCAGCAGCACAGAGCTCGAGCTCGAGAGAGAGAGGGAAGGAGGAGCTGGTTTCAGACTAGATCTTCTTTTTCAACTGGAGAAACAGCTGAAACTGGGGAGGACTGTGAGGGAAAATTGTTCTAAATCACAGGAAATGTCCAAAAAGTCTGAGAGCCTTGTGTGTTAAAAAAAAGAACTGCATTTAAGGAATTTGGCATTTATGAGCTGTTAACACTTACAAGCATGTCTTTCTCCGCACACTTTGCTCAGCAGCAGCTGCTGCGTTTTGTCCAGAGCTGATGCAGATTGACAACATTCATGCAAAAGCAGGAGGAGTGTATGCTCAGCCATGTTGATGAATGAACTGACGATGACATCGTCAGCAAGCACAACCGTTTAGCTGATAGTAAATAATTCTATATAACAAAATCCTACCGATTATATCTTAAACCGTTTACTGTGCATTACTAGTTTACACCCTTGTCTGTTAGTGCAGCAAATTGTACAGCAAGCTATAACCATTATACGGTGAAAGCAACAACATAAAGGTGATATAAGGCTACAAATTAGCTTGTTTTGGACTGTAAATGAATGTAAATAGTTCCTTTCATGTCCTTCACGGCAAAATAGGGGTTCCCATGATCTCATGTGCAAAGGGTCAAAGTTCAAATATTCCACCTGATTAAACTGCATAAATCCAAGCCACATTAAAGGAGACTTAGAATGTAAACTAACATCTTCCTTGTTGTTGTTGAATAAAGACAGCTCGGGTGGTCAAAATTATCATGCCAAAAAATTCAAAGTTGTGCGTGACCTACTTTTTTTGTAAATTAGAAAGTTGAAAAAGGCTACAGGAAAAACTCCTTTTCTGAGCAAACATTCCTAGTCACGTCACAAGGTAACCACTCCTGCTACAGCTACATGTTCCAACCCACTTCAGCATCAGCATTATTAAAAGCTGGTCGCAGCAACGCTACCGCAAAGCCACAGTAAGCCGGGCCTCTGTTAGCACCAAGCTGTTAGCTTTAGCTAGCAACAGTCTCGGTGAAAGAAGAGTACAAGCACTCGTCGCTCAGGTTCCAGCATATACTGGTAAAATTCAGACTGTAAATTAATGTCCGATAGATCCACAGCTTGCGGTTTGGTCTGGTACTTTTCTTCATAGTTTGTCTACAACCCTCATACAGGCAACCTGTCTTTGCCACACGCTCATTCTTGACTCACCCCTTCAGTGGGGACTTTTTCTTTTCAGAACGTTATTCAACAAACATATACAAAAATCAAAAAATGTATACAAAATTGAACACAGAACATGTGCGGGGGTGCAAAAATATCAAATAATTTATATGTTGTGCAAATATAAGTTTTTTAAAGCCTTTTTGTTCAAATATTAATTAATCAATGTTATAGGCTTGAGTGGGAACTTACTGAGAAACCCTGACTGTAGTTTAGTTTCTGCTTTCACTTGTCTCTCTTCAAATCCTCCAACACACACACACACACACACACACACACACACACACACACACACACACACACACACACACACACACACACACACACACACATGCGCGCACACACATTTGACGTTTCAATTTTTCTGTTATTTCAAGAATTATTCAGTATTAATTGTCAAAATCCTGATTTAAAGGCCAAACAAGTATGTGGGAAATGAAAAAAATGAAACACTTTGAATAAAGCTGACAGCAGACTATTATCTGACTAATTACTGCTCTTATCACTGAATGCTTTTATGTCACTGTTCACTTTTTGCAGAACATGCCAAATGTCAGGGACCACGATGCGTCGGTGTACCTGCGCCTCCAAGGTGACGCCCTGTCGGTGGGTGGCTATGAACAGAATCCCATCTTCTGGGAGGAGGTGAGGCTGAATATTTCTGGTTATTCATCACTCTCTGGAGTTTTGTATATCAGCCGTCTGTGTGGCTAAAAGCTGCAACTTGTGTCTTTTACCCCCCCACCCCCCCAAAAGGACACTGAACTAACTTTTGCAGTCTTTTTTACACAATAGAGATCAAATTCATCCAGTATGGCTACTCTAAATTTCACAATAAAACATTAGTCAGTTTTAGGCGATGTATTCTTATCTTTACCTCAGGTGAACTTTAAGTGCTGATGGGAATTTGCTGCTGATAGAAATTCAGAAATGAAAAAGTCAAACTTGGGAACACTTGAGGAAGTTATGTTTATAAATGATGTGATTCTGAGTTCTGACATCCTGCTGTTGATGTACAACTAATGCAGTGGGATGTCAAGCTGTGGATGGAGATAAAGATGGAGAGGGGAGAATTTTTATCTGAGCAGTGGCTTTCACATCAGAGCCAGCTGTTGATGTGAGTGCTTTAATCAGAAATGTTAAAAAAAGACAGAAATCTTTATGTGTCTGAAAATATGCAGTCAAGCACAGGTTTTTTTTAATAGTTCCCTAAAGTAGTTGTTATTCAGAAGTTAGCTCACACAGCTAATTGTACATTTTCCTAAAAACATTGTTTATTTAAAAAGCTGTCCGTAGCATATAGGACATTAAATGTTCATATTTATTTTTTCACAGAAATACATCAGAAGTAACTGTTTCAGTCCTTTTATAATAAAAAATATATAACCTTATATCTTAGCCTTAATCAAACAGAAAAGCACTCAGAAGGGAAAACCATTAAAAAGTTTATTTATTTATACTTTTTACATGTTTCATTATTTCAGCTAAATATATTTTACAGGCATTTTGAAAAGCAACAACTCATTCCTAATATAATCAAATTCATTTGGTTTTAACATCCATGCAGCAAAGTCCATGTCAGACCTCGTCCTCTTGGCTTTTCTACTTGTAAAAGCTTTTTAGTCGATCATTATGAAGTTCTACCGAAGATTAAAACCGCAATCACTCAAATGAACTTTGGCATCAGTAAACATTAATTGTTTCTTGCAGAGATTTACTCCTGAGAGGAGGAATGGGGGATAATGCTCCTGTTTGAACTAACCAATGTTCCTTGTCTTAATGGATTTGTACTTTTCACATGGACGGTTTTTTGTAAGAGTAGTGCGAGTGGGTTGTCTGATTCTGCTGCTCGTCTTTTGTCTTGGTGCCACTTACTCCTGAAAGTCTTTAGTATTACAACAAAACTGCACCAGCCCCATTCACCAGGAAATTAAAGCCATTAGAATAACAATTCTTTTTCAGGACACTCATGATATCTTCCTTGCTTCTTTCCCTGACCTCATGAATTCCTGTTTTTTCACCCTGCCAGTCTACAGATTCCTCAGAGGATTCACGTTTTAGAGGATTTCTTTGTGCAGAGGCTGCTCCTTTTGTTCTCGCCCTGTAGCTGAGTGTTGCTTTGATGTTTTGAGGGGGATGGAGGAGAAGAAAGGTGATACAGAAAGGAGAATTAGTGGAGAATAGATGCAGGGTGAGCGATGATGAGCAGGGATGATAGCTTGGAAGGGATTGGGGTTTGTGACAAAGAGGTGCTGCTCCTCAGATACTAAAGTACAGCGTGTGTGTCGGTCGGGTACTGGGTCCTGACATGACAGCAGATTGGGTCGACGTTCAAGTCCCAATAAAAGATGTAAATGTTGTCTTGAAGAGCAAAATCAGGCTTATTGGACTTCTTCTGAGCGCCCTGAGTCATCTGTGTGGGATGGAGCGCATGGCTGGGCATGATCTGTGGGGGCTAAAGGCTGCTGCTTTGGTTCAGCTGACAAAAGGGGAGTTATAGAAGTCCTCATGGAGAAAATTAGTTTGCATCCAGATCTGAGAGGGAAAGGTCAAATTGGACAGAAGATTTCTGGTGAGAAACATCTGTGCGCGTGCTGCTGGACTCAAGTCACATGACCAAAATCAATAAAGTGTTTCTAACAAGAATAAATACATTGAGTATTTTAGATTTTCATGATTTAAAATATTTATTTTTGTTTCTTTTTATGAAGTAAAAAGAAATAAAAACTGCAAAAATTGCATGTGTGAGATTTTATCATTTAAATTATTTAGGAAGCTTTAGAAATGCATGCCAGTTTGTATAGAAAATATCTAGGATGTATGTACAGTCTATGGGATCAAATCAAAATGAAAATCCTGACAGATCTACCCCACTGTGCAAAGATCCAGTTGGACGTCATACAGACGTGGTCTGGACCAACAGACTCAATATAGACACGATCTGCATGTCCATGCCACGTTGACTGTTTGCAGGCACGTCGTCACACAGAACATTTATGGCTCTTGGCTCACGACGAGGAAGGCTGTTGTTGTTTTAGCGTCCAGGAAACCGCAGCGAATGTAACCACTAGCACTAGCAACTCCACCACACGGCAAAACTCCTTCAGGCTTGTGTTATTTACGGAGATAAAATATCCATTTTGCAGAGCAAACAAGTGGTAGCTGTGTTGCTGTTATCCAGTCAGAGGCGAGTTGGCCAAATGTCAGGAAATAAAGACTCCAAATCCTGTTGTCTGAAGCTACTTTCTTCTCTAGCTGAATTCTCCATGCTGATTCAGACATTTTTGCTTAATTGTCTTTATTAACTACATAACTCTGTTTTAAAGGTGTATTGTGCAGAAATGACGTAAATATGACATCCTGTGGTAAGATTTGGTTACTGCAATCACTTTAAGCAACTCTGGAGGTTTTTACCAGCCGTCCTCAAATTCCAGTTGTCGGTGCTGCAGTGTTAGCTTGCAGGAGACACGGAAACCCCACACTCGCTAATGGTAAACATGAAATATGTCTCGGTATAACCTTCCTTCCAACATTACTGAAACATTTAACTCTTTTGGGATTTTCTCACTGTAAAATTCTCACTATATTCTTACATACTGCACCTTTAAGGCTCATTTCTGGAGGTTTTCATATATCCATTTAGTTGGGAGTTCAGAAAACACATTTTGGTTTATGGCAGACGAACAGCTAAACCACTCAGAAATGCGCATTGATCCATATTTCTGTGTATACTTATTGTAATTCTTACACTTCCTTATTTCCAGGTGTCTGATAAGTTTGCCTTCAGCCTGTTTGATCTGGACTGGGATGTATTTATGCAGCATATAGAGGGCGCTATCAACAGAGTTCCTGTTCTGGAGCAGACTGGAATCAAGTCCACTGTGTGTGGTCCAGGTATGAACACACATTTATTAATGTATTCTCCAGGGAGATGTTGTGAGGATGATCATTAGCTATTTAACAGAAAACCATCAGGAATTTATTGCTGGATAATTAATCATAAGCAATCCGTCTCCTGCTCATTTCAAACTGCTCATTACTACTTTTTATCTAAGCATTAGCTATTAAACTAAATACAATCAGGAGCTCATCATTAGCTGTTGGTTCATCAGCAGTCAGGCACTGGTTTGTTTACCTTCTATGTGACCGAGCACATTTCAGGCCCTTATCAGTATTAGAAAGGATTCACTGATTCACCCTCGCTAGTGGGCAGGAGGTTCTGTGTAGCAAGGCAGTCTTTGTTTCCAGTCAAGAACGCAAACACTGTCCAGCTGGACACAGGTCAAACAGAAAATCTGATACATTCCACAAAGAATTGCTCTCAGATTAAAGGCACAATGTGTGACATTCTGACTTGTTTAACATATGTGTATTCATAATCTGTGGTCGACACTCTGTAGTCATGTGCCATCTTTAAATACTGTAGCTGTTTAGGGACATACAAGATATAATGCTCCACATTTGTTCTCTGCCCTTCTCCCTTGTGCGGGGATGGTGCCGGCTTTCTCCGTGGCAGCCTTGCTGGTTCCTTGCAGGAGTGCACCGATTGCAGATTTTGGCCAATCACCGATCTTGAGAAAAACATGACTTGCCAATACCGATTTTTGCCAATACCGATTTTGTCTTAACCAAAAGCAGATTACGTCAATGTTTCAGTTTTCTTTTGTCGAGAAAACTATGAAACAATACTGGTTTCAACTGGACATGAGGTAATGTTCTCAAATATAAATTAACATATTTAGCATTGCTGTTTGAACTACAAAATCAAATTTGGTCCTTTAAACTTTCATTTTTCTAATTTTGAAAACAAAACTTTTGTACCTGTTTTGACACACTTGTCTAAAAAAAACTGTTCTATAGCATTGAATTGCTTTAACATTAACTAGGGGTGCACCAATCTATCAGTCCCGATCTCGGTGCACCCCTAGTTCCTTGCCCTTCTTTAATCACATGTGATCACTGGATTGAAAGCTAGAATTCATGATACCTTTTTAATCCATGTGGGCTACCGTAGATGCAGGACTGAACTGTGTGGCGCTAAAGAGTAGACATTTTTTACACACTTGGGCATCAAATATTACAAATTTAACAATGTTTAAAGGTGTGTTTGGTTCAGTTTTTAGATTTAGACTTCATGCCAAATTTTATGAAAGCATCACAAAACTTTGAAACATCTAATGTGAAAATACTCCATAATCCATATACTCCTCGCTGCTGTAGTGGATCGATCATCTGGAAACCAGCTTCTGTTCATGCTGTTGGTGTTGATGGAGTTGACACTTATTTTTTATATGCTTTATTTTCAATCAGCAGGATTTTCTTATAATATCTTGAAAGGATCTGGTTCAGTAGTTCTTAAGTTGTTTTTTTTTTCCTAAATTTGTCTTGTTTGCTTCTTTTTTCTGTCCAGTTATTAGCCACGCCAATCACTTCACCTGTAAAAAAGGCTTCTTAAGCCAGTTTGTGTCGACACATAACACTATACCAAAGAGCCTTTTAAATCAGGTGTATTGTTAGAAAACCAGGCTGCTACAAATGCTCAGTCAGAGAACAGACCTTCACTGATAAGTCAGCATCTTTCTTTTCACCTACAGATTTCTCTCTTCCTGTTTTCAGAGTCGTTCACTGCGGACCATAAGCCGTTAATGGGAGAAGCCCCAGAGGTCCGAGGGTTCTTCCTGGGCTGTGGCTTTAACAGCGCAGGTATGTATAGCAATAGATTAGAAGAATCTAGCAGAAAAAGGTGAGATAAAACACAAAAGATACAAGACATTTCCAGTTCGAACAAAACAAGGAATTTATGCCAATAAATGTCACACAGTAGTGATGGGAATTACGGCTCTTTTTAGGCTCAGCTCACCAAAAACATCCGGCTCTTTCGGCTCCCAAGTGGCTCCTCAGATTTTCTGTTGCGTAAAGTATATTTATCACCAAAAATAATGCAAAACTATATGTAAAATGATTTACTAATGTAAAAATATGCTATTATATCAAATATTTATCATTTATATGGATTTATTTACTGAACACTTTAAGAAATCTCAACTTTCCTACTACTATCGCTCATTTTCTCACCACACTTTCCTCTCTCTCACTCACCTTTTTCCTCCTCATTCCCTCTCGTCTCCCTCCGCCCGCATGTGCTCTGCTGTGTGTCTGAGCATGATCCTCCCTCTTACCTGCCTCTACTGCTCTGTGTGTGGATCGTCTGGACACGCAGTTACACATGTTGACCAGTCGCCTGTGTTTTTCACCAAAGCAAGAGGGAGAGGGGAGGGAGGGTGACGGCTCCCAATGACGAGCCGGCTCCCGTCGTTAACTTCAATTAGAGCCGGTTCGTTCGCGACTGACACATCACTATCACACAGGTTCTAAACATTTAGGACAAACAACTTCCCGTTGAATTAAAGTAGTGAAACAAACAGAGATTCTCCAAGAAGAAACAGGAAGGAGGAATTTTGACCTAGACTTCACTCTGCATACATATTCTGAAAGCTGTGATGAATAATGGAGTTGGCTTCATTTTCCAGAGTCCTCAGAACACGTACACAAACAAGTTGGTGTACAAACAACACTCCAGAGCCTACCTTTGACACTAGAGAGAGAAAAACACTAGTTTCAAAGCACTCTAAGAGAGGGGGGGAGGCGTAAAGGCTAAAGCAATCAACATCAGCATTCATAGAGAACTGAGAGAGAGACTTTCTCTACCTAAGAGAAGAGGATCATCAGGTTTAGATAGAAACTTTGGTGAAGTGGAGTTCTGAGTTGTGCAGGAGTTGGATCTTTGAGTCGTGATGAAGCGTTAGCACAGGTTCCTATTCAAACTCTTCAGTTTCATCTCTGGGGGGTGGGATTATACGGGTGCACCATTTCTCTCACTTAAAAGTTGCCCACGTCACAGCAGAGTTTCAGGCAGCAGGTTCTGGAGTCTTATTTCCTCATATCTGGACATCTGGGCCCGGATTGGATTACAGTATGCAAAGTGGATGTTTCATCTCTACAAATAACTCAAGCCTGGAGGGGCTTCTGCTCTGTGGTGGTGTTGTAGACATGAATGGCTCTCCCTTAGAGATAGGGTGAGAAGCTCGGTCATCCAGGAGGGGCTCGGAGTAGATTCGCTGCTCCTCCACATCGAGAGGAGCCAGTTGAGCTGGCTCGGGCAACTGGTCAGGATGCCTCCTGGGTGCCTCCCTGGTGAGGTTTTCCGGGCACGTCCAACCAGGAGGAGGCCTAAAGTTAGACCCAGGACACGTTGGAGGGACTGTCTCTCACCTGGCCAGGGATAACCTTGGGATTTCCCTGGAGGAGCTGGCCCAAGTGGCTGGGGAGAGGGAAGTCTGGGCCTCTCGCCTTAGGCTACTGCCCCTGCGACCCGACTCCGGATAAGGGGATGAAAATGGATGGATTGATTATTTTGTTTATAGTTGTATTTTAACTACCACTTGTCTGATTTCGTGAAAAAGCATAATAAATGTGTATTTTTGTTGGGCAAGCACCTTTCTCACTAGAAATAAATCCACTGGGGCAAACGGAGACCTATCCAAGATGGCAGATGGCCACAGCTTCAGGTCCAATCAGCAACGCCGATCCAAGGGGCGTCTACGTAAATGTGTCTGTTGATAATGTTGCTAATGCTAACACTTAGCTTAAACTAGCACAGATGTTCTCTGCTGATTCTCGGACATCAAAGCAACAACAGTCTTCTTCACAGTGAGTGTTGTAATCAATGAAGAAGCAATGTATTTTACTTTGAAGCTGTCACTTGCAGCTTGCTTGGCTCCACCCTCTAAAGAAAAGGGGGATAAATTCAGAAATGACCTGCTAAAAGTTAATAGACTCAGTTTAAAAATAAAATATGTCTCTGAGTTCTTGGATCTAACTTTGTGAGTCTGCTCATTTAGTGGTGTTAATTTTAGTTTCTGAGTCATCAGTGACTGTGATTGCTTGGTAGACTGAAGGAAGTGGGATTTGTTGCTTGGCAACCACAATATTGCTCTCTCTCAGAGTTGAAGCCATCATGTTGAGCACTTACGAAATTTACCTGCAGTGCATTTGTTTTCTCTAGTGCATGTAATGGTAATTTCATAATTGAGTTTAAATGCTGCAGCTCTTTCAGGGGCGCTACACAATAAAGCTCAGATTTGAATTCATGGCATCTAATTTAGTTGTAAAACCTCAAATTAAAGTATGTTTTTTTAACAGTCTGAACAAGTGGAAACAAGTAGTGCAAACTGTGGATTTCTCAAGGTTTTATTTGATGGATTTCTATCTTTGACTTCAAGTCGACACACAGAATCCGCTGTGGCTGATAGACGACAGCTGTAGAAAGTCAACTGGTAGAAAAAGCTTTCAGATGGATCTGTTGAGGGTTTTGACAGTTTGTTAACCTTGCCTCACCTTCAGGGTTCTAAAGCAGGTCACAAATCTTAAAATGCTTTAAAGCCAATTTTCCTTTTCCTGACAGTTTTACCAGGATTAATTTATATTTGTATCACCCTTTTAAAAATGCATTAAGATCAAAAGTGACACTCATTCAAAGGCATGGTGACATTGTTCCTGTGATTTAGAGATCTGTTTCTCCAGGCCGATACTCATTTTTCTTTCTTGTACAACTCTGATCTGCTGATATCAATTTTGTCCAATTCTATCTTGAGTTAATACATTTTCCTTTTGTTTATTTCATATTTCTTCATAAGATTTCATAAGATTAGGATTTCTGATGCAAACCAAATCACATATATGTATGTGTGTGTGTGTATATATATATATATATATATATATATATATATATATATATATATATATATATATATATATATATATATATATATATATATTTCTTTTGTTTGTTTTTGTTTTATTATTATTATTATTTCATATTTCTTCATAAGATTAGGATTTCTGATGCAAATTGTTGACATTAAAAACCTGTAATAAGTAGCATGAATTATAAATGCAAGTCCTCAGACTGGAGAAAGTGTTACATGCTTTGTGTGGAAAAAAGATCAGATTCTTAAGGCTAAGTATAGCCTATATATATATATATATATATATATATATATATATATATATATATATATATATATATATATATATATATATACATAGTACACACAACATAATGGAACATCAGCAGAACAAGACTGAGACTACAGGCCTGCTGATGCTCACACATCAGTGTGGTTGTCTCAGGTGACATTTATCAGTGGCACCTTGTCTCGCAGGTTGTCTCTGCTTTGTCTTTGGAGAACTCCATCATCCTCCTTTCACCCACCTCCCTTTTACCTCTCAAACCATGCACCCATTTATCCATTCTCCCATCCAGCCAACCTGCCTGCCATTTAAATCAGAGTCGAAACTGACTGCAGCAGAGTGAAGAGATGGGAAATAAAGCTGCAGCACAAGGATGCAGAGTATACAGCTGATGCAGACACACACACACACATTACAGACAGAGGGTTGCTGAAAGGGCTCAGCTCATTAACCCAGCAGCTTTAAACTCGATGGATTACAGCATTTAGATGTTTGCTTGTTGGCTTGCTGGTTGGATGGAACAAACTGAAGGCTGCAGCTAGTGCAAGGGGACGATGAGGTCAGATTGCTCAGGGCTCCTTTAGACAAGGGTCAAATAATATAACAGAGGTCAACACAATCCTCTGAGGCTCATTCTTATGACGCATAGCAGCTGTGGCAGAAGACAAAATGCCAACTTTCTTTTCTTCTTGTTTCAAAATTAATGAGACTTGATCGCCGTCCTCCCAAAGCCGCACTGTAGGAGTGAAGGGTTCCTTGTTCAGATGTTTCTCTAATTTGTTGTTTGCTTCATGGGCTGGAAAAGCTTTATTTGATTTATGATAAAATGTGTTTAAGGCTTCCTAAACTCATTGGCGACTTAATTTTTTAGGTTTTTTGACAGAAATTTGTGATACTTTTTCTAATATTTTCAACTTTTTAACTTTTTTTTTTATAAAATGCATGTTTAGTGAATGTTTCTTTTTCGTTTGTAAAGTTTGGCATACTATCCTTTGTGCTGCATAAATAAATCTTGAAATTAGTTTTGGACATTCTGATGAATCAAATCAGATTTAAATTGCTTTTTAGTCCAGATGAATTTCGCATAGAAACAGCGCAGCTCTGTAAACTAGTTGTAATATCTGTAATCACCGGATTGGTTTCAGTTCTAGATGGATTTTGGTCTAGAACCAGCTTTGCACCTATCAAATCACCTGGTGGTGATGCCATTTCTCCATGACTCCTGCAGATATGCAGAACGTGCATGTTGGTGTTCCACAGCAGATCACATACAGCAGCTAAATGAAATTTTATTGTAGTGTTTGAAAAAAATAACAAAAACAGGCCTTTCTCAAAAATTGCACATGCAGATGTCTAACATCTACAGCTGGGTTGTTGCATTTTTCTTCCACAGGACAGCGACGACTGCACATAATCACATGTATAACTGAATGCTGCAAAGGCAAAACACTTGTAAAACCAATCCCAGTACCACATGACCCACCGTCCAGCTGCTGTAGATGATGGTTTGATAATTGTTAAAAAATGTTTTTTTCTGATTATAATTAATCGCTCTGAGTTTTTCATTAAGGCTGAACATGAAAGCAGTCTCTTACACCTATCTCCTGCATTAGCTTCTGATAGAAAATAGACAGTGAAACGCCAGGATTTGAAATTCCTCACAGATCTACATCACGCTGAGAATTAGCATTCATAAACTCACCCATCATGACTCACGACGGAGAAGGCTGTTTTTGGTTTAACGTCCAGTAATCAGCAGGGGACGTCTCTGCTAGTTTTTGCTAACCGTTAGCAATAGCTACTTCACAACAGAAGTCCTTCGAGCTTGTTTTATTTTTGCAAGTCAGTGGTGGAGTCATGTTGCTGTTATCCGGTGCGGGACGAGATGTCCTAATATCAGGAAATAAGAGTCCAAATTCTGCCGTCTGAAGCTCAACTGTGATGTCGCAGACTTTGTCTGCTGAGCTAGGCGAATTGTGGGCTTGTCTGCGCCCTGAGTTGTGCCTGCAAGGCATTAATTCTGTCTAGACATCACTGCAAATGTATTGATTAAATGAGTAATCCACTCTTTTAAAGCTAGCCTAAAGCTACTTCGAAACATATCGAGTTAGACTTTACCACATTTCAAACTCTGGTTATTATCTTCGTGCTGCCTTTAGACTTACTATCATGTAATGTTTAAAAGGGGCATAAACACAAACATTGCTATTATTGCTATTATTCTACATCACTACGGTGTGGTTTTGTAGTTGTGATCCAAGGTTAATGGTCTCTGACAGAAACCATTATGACAGTGAATGTGGATTAAAGCTGTTTTTGTTTTTCAGGTATGATGCTGGGAGGTGGATGCGGTAGAGAGCTGGCTCACTGGATTATACACGGCCGCCCTGAAAAGGACATGTATGGATATGACATCAGGTACACCAGGAGGAAACATGCAAATCGACTTCTAATTGAAGTCTGTGTGACTTTTAATGAGCGCTCATCTCTCTGGTGTCTCAGACGTTTTCATAGTTCGCTGACGGACAACAAACGCTGGATCAAAGAGAGGAGCCATGAGTCATACGCTAAGAACTACTCTGTGGTGTTCCCCTTTGATGAGCCGCTGGCCAGCAGGAACATGAGGAAGGACCCGTTCCATCAGGTTCAGTGTCCACTGCAGATACCTAATCACAGCATTTCATCAGGAGTTCTAGGAAATTGGTTGTCTTTCTGCTGGAAGCACCAATAAATGTGTTTTTTATTAGGAGGTTTTACCTGATGAACAGGATCAACCAGCTGATCTGTGGAATTGCTATAGAAAACACGGAGTTAGCTTTATGATTAAACATATGATTTTGAATTTGGAAACTTCCCAAGATGTTTTAGACATTGCCAGGCCATTTGGGGTTGATGACGTAATCGTCAGCAAATTGTAATGTTTGCATGTCTGTTGGTCACAAAGTGTGTGAATTTATCTGCTATTTACTCTCCTTTTCTGCAGTTTGGTTCATTTCTATTGGCTCTACACTTTCACTCAACTCCTTAACTATTTTAGAAGGAAACTTTTTACATTTTGCATTTTGGAAATTGCTTCGTTTATTACCATCCATAGTCCATCCCCAACACTCTCAGCCTAATACGACACAAGTTTAACATCATGCATCATCTACTCTTAGCTAGAGAGATATAAATGTATTTAAAGGTATTTATTATTTTGTTTGCAAAATTAAAAAAAAGATGCAATAAAAAGTATAAAACCATTCAAATTACAGTGCTGGAGGAGGCAAAAGCCAATGATGCTTATCTGAAGCCTTCAACAAAAACATTGACAAAAATCATAGATTACTAATTATTAAGACAATAATCAAAGAGAGTTTAGAAATTTGCTAAATAATGAGTAATGTATGCCCTCTTTTAATCTAATTAAATCTATTTTTTCAAAGTATCAACTGTAGAACATTGGCTTGCCAAATAGGAAAACCGATTCCATACTATTGCACCCCTGAAACCGATAGAGAACTGTTATGGGAATTAGGGGTAATTTTAATTCTGTAAAGCACTTTGAGTCACACTTTGCTTGAAAAGTGCTTTATAAATTAAATCTGATTGATTGATTGATTGATTGATTGATTGATTGATTGAGGATTGAAGTTATCGCGCTTCTCCTGCATAACCATTCCATTTTGGAAGGAATAGGATGTGAGAAGAGGTTGCAGACAGAGCAACAAGATGTGGATCAATTGAAAATGTATCGTTATTGAAATTTCCGACTCAGATCGATATAATTTTTCCCATGTCAATAAATTCGATATTAAAAAAAATGAAAAGATAAGTGAGGGTTAGCAACTGTACCACCTCAAGTCCCATTACAACTTGATTCAATGTAATACATGTGACAGCCCCATCCACTGGACAACTTTTGTTTCTGCGCGTAGTTGTCGTCCATTTATTGTTATCAAGGTGAAATCCTCAATATATCGTGATATTGATTTTCGGCCATTGATTTTTGTGCCCCGCCCTCGTGGAAAGTCAGCGCTTTGTGCTGTCATCCTTCCTGTGATTGACATGAATTGATCAATGATTCATCTATTCACATGTCAAATGCCTAAAACTATCTGGTGTTCCAACTTAGAGATGGGAACCCGGTCAACATTTTAAGTCACTTGGGGGATCTTTGATTATTCTCAGTTCTTTATAGCTAGCATGACTCCTTTTTGTATCCTTTTTGCTTGTCAGTGTAGGGCTGTCCCTCTGTTACTCTCATACATGTTTCTGTCATTTCTGGTTTTGTCCCTCTGATGGAAACCTGGAGGGATGTCTGATTCAGGGAGACAGTGGGAAGCCATGTAGCTTTCTCTGACATCCCGTAGGACTATAAATGCCCGTTTTTGTAGCTCATTCTTGGATGTCTTTCAGCTTCGTTTTCATTCCTTAGCACCGTACAAACTCCTAATGGACCTCTCTGCCATGCTTTACACATTAATGATCCACTTATACCTCATTTCACTTTATCCATTGCGATTTTTTCCCCCTGGTCTCACACGTAGGCACATTTCAGAATGGATTAACATCACACAAACTGCATTAGCAGTGTTGTCATTGTATTTTGTACCTCACATGTTGTGCTTTCTTATAGCTTGTTTTATTTAGCATCGTTGACACTTTCCATGCGTATTTTGAAGTTCCCTGTAGGGCATTTTGAAAATTGGCTTTTTATAACAGTAAAAAATACAATCAGTTGGTAAACTTTTAATTTAATCAAGCCTTTTTGTTAAAAACACAAGAAAGCAGCTTCATAGCAGCCCTAAATGTTTGACCAGCTGAGCAAGTTGCCTCTGAGCAAAGAAAAATGACACTTTCTACTTTTAGGAGACAATACAGATTCATCTCAGACCCCAAGCAAGTCATCTCTGACACTGCTGCTCACACGTTTTCTCCACCTTGGTAGCACAGGTGGTAAATATAGCTTGGTGTGGGACGTTTTGGCAACAGACAGACAGCTTGATGCCTGCTTGGAGGAGAGCATAGCACAACATACCTACCAACTGTGGGCGACTGCCAATTTTAACAAGGAGGATGGAGAGCCTTGCAAAATCGTATCTAAACACTGCTCAAGGATTTAGCAGCAGACTGTTTCAGCAGCTGCTTGCACTAAACAAACTGTACTCAGTTATTTCTTGGCTGTCGGGTAAAGTTTTAGATGTTTATTTCAGGTCAATTATCCCCTTTTGTGTAATTTTCTTCAGGGTAAAAACTGTAAAAAGGATTTTTTTTTCATGCCAGTAAAAATTTAAATGACGTAACTGTGATTGAAGGGTTTCACAGTGATTGCTTTACACGTTTTAAGCTTTTGAACTCATTTTTCTGCAGCAGCTTCTGTTAAACACAGTGTCTCAAGCCTCCTGGTAAACAATGTAATGGTGTAGTTCTGTTTGTATTTCAAGGCTTTGAATCTAGTTGAATTTGTCTATTAATGGTTACAATCTTCGTTTGGCTCATGCTAACAATAATTTAAATTATGATCAATTTCCATCTTTTCAAATTAAGGCTGATTTATGTGAGGTGCTGTGAATTTGGGAGATTATGCATGTAAGCAATGCAGGTCAACATCCAGGAGCGTCGTAAGACAGATGGGCGGGGGGGCTTTACACTTATGCACCTGCAAATGAGAAGAAACGACAACAGCTCTCACCTCTGATTAATCCAAATTACTTTTCTAACAGACAACTGGCCAAATTTTCTCGAAAACAAACCTTGTTTCATGAAAGTTGCCCGTTTGACTAAAGGTGCACAATGGCATCAACATCGGTAACAGCTGATAAGTCATACTGGGCAAATATAGACGATCAATATCTATTTACATCTAACTGCCATTTGTGCATCTGTTTCAGGAGGGGAGGGGGTAGACATGTGGTAATTGTTTGGTCATGTGATAGTGATAAACTCAGAAGCATTAGTGTGTGTGTGTGTGTGTGTGTGTGTGTGTGTGTGTGTGTGTGTGTGTGTGTGTGTGTGTGTGTGTGTGTGTGTGTGTGTGTGTGTGTGTGTGTGTGTGCGTGAGTGTGTGCACGTGTGTGCGTGTGTGTGTGTGTGTGTGATTTTAATATTGGTAAAAGTTGGTTATTGCAATAACAGCAATACTAAAATCTGCTATCAATACCAGCCAGAATCTTCATATTGGTGCATCACTTCTGAGATTTAGACGTAAGTAAAGATTTAGATGTAAGTAAATATTTAACTTTACTAATGCACATGCACTGTCTGTATTTGTGTGTGTGTGAAAATTTCAGATTCTGACCGAGGAGGGCTGTGTGTTTCAAGAGCGCCATGGTTGGGAGCGACCCGGCTGGTTCAACAGAGATGGACCAGCTCCAGTGAGAAGAACACACACTAATATAACTATGAATAATAGACTATTCCTCTTGTGCTTTAGCCTTTAAAGGTTCATCTTTATGTTACATAAAGGTTAAAGACTACGATTATTATGGAGCTTATGGCATCAGAACAAACATAAACTACAAATACAACGAACTCCTGGGCAAAGAGTACACCTTCAACTTTCCTCCGCATCATGATGTGGTAAGATACACAAGAAACAGCTACATCATAAAAATGCATGGTATATATGGTATACCAGTATACGGTTAACATGTTATATATTTTGCCACTGGTAAAGACTTTGACTCTGCCGTCCAATGGCGACTGCACATGAATGTCATCAAGCTGCGTCTATGGACCAATCCTAATACTCGCCCTGTGGTCTTCAGCAAAGTGCACTTGGAGAAAGTGTAAGGCTTTGAGTTTGTAGTACACAAGTGTGGAAATAATTGTCGAATTGAGACGGGGAGCATTACGTCATCGATCACAAAGCATGCCAGGATACTGGTCGCTGTGGTACTTTTTTCTAAAACATTTATTAACAACTTTCAAACAAACAACCAAACAGTTATTTAAAATAAAATTAAATTCATTGCTGCTTTGTCTAAAACATTCAGAGCATCAATTAATCATCCTAAAATGAAATGAATATTTTCAGAAAGGGAACTTGAGCCTTTTCTCTCGCAGCAATGGATTGTGGGTAATACACTCCACCCAAGTCTGCATCGATGCAGACTTGGGTGGAGTGCAGATTAAGAGTGAAAAGGGGGTTTGATCAACTCCCGCACTTGAGAATCGGGACACCCTACACACTCGCACCCCTGGTCGGGACCGCACAGATGAAGGGTGCAAGGGTGAAAGTGCGAGTATTGGGATTGGGCCAAAATCTGGATGAGAGCAGCTGCAGCGCAGTGGGCGCTGACGAAGGCATGCCCATAAAGAAGACAGGGTAAGGTTGGATATATGAACCTGGTTTGGGTTTAAGGAGTCTGATGCTGAGCAGAAAATCATCTTCAGTAAAATATTCAGGGCGACAGTAAAGTCACATCTGCGTTAATGGCTTGTTAACGCGAATTCCCTTGAATGGCATTTTTGTTGTTTTTAACACAATCAACACAGGCTTCCAAACTTTTGGGTCATCACCTGTGATTTAGTTTGAATAAACTTCCCTCTGCAGTTTCAGTTTGTTTCCCATTTAGTAATAAAACACAAGTCTGAAAGTCTCTCTCTCTCTCTCTCTCTCTCTCTCTCTCTCTCTCTCTCTCTCTCTCTCTCTCTCTCTCTCTCTCTCTCTCTCGCTCTCTCGCTCTCTCTCTCTCGCTCTCTCGCTCTCTCTCTCTCTCGCTCTCGTTCCGTGCTGTGTACTGATCTGATCAGAGCATCTCTTAACAAAAGGGAGAGAAATTGGATAAATCTCCTACCTTGTCTCACTGTTGTCGACAAAACGCCGCAAAGCATCGTTTTACCTGCAGTTATTCACCACTGAAGCTAAATTTCTATGAGCAAAAGCAAAACCTGAAAAAAGATAAAAATGATCAGGAAAACAGGAAGAAATGTTATTTCTGGTTTTAATTTTTAACTCCAGTTCTAATAATTTAGAATTTTGTTTTTATCGCATTTAGCTTGTATTTTATTCAAATTGTCTTCATCTTTACTTATTTTATGAGGATTTTTGTGTCGGAGTAAGAATCACAACAACTTAAAAATTATTTTAGATGTTTTGTATTTTCTTAAGTACGTTTTGAACATTAAATGTTCTTTAAACGGCATTCTTTACTTTGTAGAAGTATTCTTTTGCTGCGATTCATCTGACGTGTGCAAATGTTTAATGTTATTTTGGCATGAATCAACAGAATATATCGCAAGATATAACTTTACTACATGTGCTTTAAAATATATTGTAATGTAGATTTTAGGCCCATATTGCCCATTCCTACTATTTTCTGTTTTGCCGTTGATTAAATAAACCGTGTGAAGTCTCCTTTCTGAAGGATCTCTAAAGGAAACAGAAATGTAATGTAGTGGGAACTTCAGTTATGAATGAGTGACAGTGACGAGTACAGGCTGTGAGTTTAATGGTGCATGAAGAGTTTGGAGGCACCAAACTAATTGTGCAGCTTGTCAGACATCGGGGAGACTGATGGCCTTGGTGTGAAAATCTGTTAGCCTGCCTTTTATTGTACTTCTGTGCCGAGTTCTGCCCTCGAGGATGTGGCTGTGATCCATGGGCTTAGAAAAGTTATGTTTTTTAATGATGAGGCAACATTCTTCTCCTTAAGGAGCCTGTTGAACACGTGTGTACTTTATTTATTTATTTTTTTAATGCAGATCAAGAGCGAGTGTCTTTCCTGCAGACATGGCGTGGTCGTGTTCAACATGTCCTACTTTGGGAAGTTCTATCTCACTGGACCAGATGCCAAGAAGGCTGCTGATTGGCTGTTCACAGCTGATGTCAACAAGAAGCCAGGTTTGTTGGGAGTGATGCTTGAACAAAATACACACACACACGCACGCACGCATGCACGCACACACACACACACACACACACACACACACACACACATGGTGGAAAAGACTGACAATGAAGAGACCTGGGTAGAGGGACTAAAGGGATTACAGCCCACTCTAACTCATGTTAGCATGAGTCTGAGAGCTTTTGCCTGAAGTGCTGACAACATCAATATGTAAGGTTTCTGCAATGACAAGTGTGTAAAGCAGCAAGCCACCTCTCCATTTACCTTTTCTCTCTCAGCCTCTGGGTTGACAGCAATGTTTTTTCTGGAAATTAGATTGTTTTAACTTGTTTGCAGAAAATCAACCTTTACATGGAAAGTGGCAGGTTTGAGAACAACGGATCATAAGAGAAGAGAAAATGTTTCCTGAGGCCTCGTGTATAAAACTTTGTGTAGAATTATTACTAAAACTATTAAAGCTCAACAAAAATATTTACTCACGCAAACTAGCTTTTCAACTTGCTTGCACACAGCCGCGTGCAATTCCTGCATTATAAATCGCACCTTACCTAAAAATGCACTCAGGTGTTTTTTGATCGTATCCTGCCTCCTACACGCCCCCTTTCTATCATAAATAGTCAATGCAAAGCACTTAATGAATACTCTGCACATTAATAAGCGGGCTGATTTGGGGCATTTCATGGGCAACCATGACAACTGAGACTGAAGTGAAGGTGATTTAGCATGACGTAGATATGGAAAAGTACAATGTTGTTGCAGCTGTGGGTTGTTGAGCCGTGAAGCAATCACGGCAGACATAAAACAATATAATTTACATAAAAACAAAGTGGTCTGTTGGAGGTAAAGAGGAAGATGGCAATAACCATTGATACCACCCAAAACGGCTGGATTGTGGTGCTCAGGAAATGCTGAGAGATTCCACATCGAAGTATTCCATCCATCCATCCATTTTCTTCTGCTCATCCGGAGTCGGGTCGCGGGGGCAGTAGCCTAAGTCGAGAGGCCCAGACTTCCCTCTCCCCAGCCACTTGGCCCAGCTCCTCGGGGGAAATCCCAATGTGTTCCCTGGCCAGGTAAGGGACATAGTCCCTCCAACATGTCCTGGTTCTCCCTTTAGGCCTCCTCCCGGTTGGACGTGCCTGGAAAACCTCACCAGGGAGGCGTCCAGGAGGCATCCTAATCAGATGCCTGAGCCACCTCAACTGACTTCTCTCGATGTGGAGGAGCAGCTAATCTACTCTGAGCCACTCCTGGATGACAGAGCTTCTCACCCTATCTCTAAGGGAGAGCCCAGCCACTCTGTGGAGAAAACTCATTTCAGCCGCTTATATCTGCGATCTCGTTCTTTTGGTCACTACCCAAAGCTCATGACCATAGGTGAGGGTAGGAACGTAGATCGACCGGTAAATCGAGAGCTTCACCTTCTGACTCAGCTCTCTCTTCACCACAACAGACCGGTTAAACGCCCGCATCACTGCAGATGCAGCACCAATCCGCCTATCGATCTCACGCTCCAGTTTTCCCTCACTCGTGAACAAGACCCCGAGATACTTCAACTCCTCCACTTGGGGCAGGACCTCATCCCTGACCTGGAGAAGGCATTCTACACTTTTCCGAATCAAGACCATGGTCTCAGGTTTAGAGGAGCTGATTCTCATCCCAGCTGCTTCACACTCGGCTGCGAACCGCTCCAGCGAAAGCTGAAGATCACGTTCTGATGAAGCCAACAGGACCACATCAACTGCAAAAAGCAGAGACCTGATCCTCAGGCCACCAAAACGGATGCCCTCCACACCTTGGATGCACCTAGAAATCCTGTCCATAAAGGTGATGAACAGAATCGGTGACAAAGGGCAGCCTTGGCGGAGTCCAACTCTCTCTGGGAACGAGCCCGACTTACTGCCGGCAATGCGGACCAAGCTTTGACACCAGTCATACAGGGACCTAACAGCCCGTATCAGAGGGACTGGTACCCCATACTCCCGGAGTATCCCCCACAGGGCCCTCCGAGGGACGCGGTCAAACACCTTCTCCAAATCCACAAAACACATGTAGACTGGTTGGGTAAATTCCCACGCACCCTCAAGGACCCTCCTAAGGGTATAGAGCTGGTCCAGTGTTCCATGGCCAGGAGGAAAACCACATTGCTCCTCCTGAATCTGAGGTTTGACAATCCGACGGCTCCTCCTCTCCAGAACCCCTGAAAAGACCTTACCAGGAAGACTCAGGAGTGTGATCCCCCTGTAGTTGGAACACACCCTGCGGCCCCCCTTTTTAAATAAAGGAACCACCACCCCGGTCTGCCAGTCCAGTGGGACTGTCCCCGATGTCCACGCGATATTGCAGAGCCGTGTCAGTCAACACAGCCCCACGTGATCCAGAGCCTTAAGAAACTCTGGGTGGATCTCATCCACCCCTGGAGCCTTGCCACAGAGGAGATTTTTAACCACCTCAGTGACCTCAGCACCAGAGATTTGAGAGCCCAACTCAAAGTCCCCAGACTGCTTCTTCACTGGAAGATGTGTCTGTGGGATTGAGGAGGTCTTCGAAGTATTCTGCCCACCGATCCACAACATCCTGAGTAGAGGTCAGCAGCACACCGTCCCCACTATAAATAGTGTTGTTAATGCACTGCTTTCCCCCATGAGGCGCCGGATGGTGGACCAGAATCTCCTCGAGGCAGCTGATGGGTATCGGCAGTCCAAGCGGAATGCGGCTCGGGTGGTCGCCGAGGCAAAAACCCAGGCGTGGAAGGAGTTCGGTGAGACCATGGAGCAAGACTTCCATACGGCTTCAAGGAGATCGAAGTATTCCATAAAATGAAAACATTTAATTCAACCCAATTGGGCTTTTGGCAGAAAATTACGTTTTTTTTTTAATCGTACCGAACAAATATCAGTCTGCTTGTTGGCCAATTCCTGCTGTAACAAGCTGATTAAAGGAAACATGACAGGTGCACCTCTGCCCATTTTCCTGGAGTGCAGAGTTTTAGTTTATAGTTTGATGTGCTGTCATGAGTCAGACTATTAAATGTACCTATAAGTAATGGCCTACATTTAACATAGTGTGGTATCTTAAAACCAGCATATCTTTATTTAGGTTCTTGTTTTTATTCTCAGTCTAGAGATGTGGGGTGGGGTGTGTGTGTGCGTGTGTGTGTGTGTGTGTGTGTGTGTGTGTGTGTGTGTGTGTGTGTGTGTGTGTGTGTGTGTGTGTGTGTGTGTGTGTGTGTGTGTGTGTGTGTGTGTCTGCTCTGTCTTCTCGATCCTCAGTGAGTCGTAGTGAATGGCTGCTTACACTGAGCAAGGATCCTCTGGAGGTTTCTTCCTGTTAAAAGGGAGTTTTCCTCTCCACTGTCGCTAAATGCTTGCTTAGTATGAGGATTGCGGTAAAGTCACTGACACCAGTCAAGTGACTCGTTGCAATCTGCTGAGTTCCTTATATAGGAAACTTTATACTGATTGGCTTAATGAACTGAACTGTAATGGAATGTTTACTGTGTGAAGTGCCTTGAGACAACTCTTGTCGTGATTTGCCTCTGTATAAATAAACTTGAATTGATTTGAATTTAATTGAATGTGGTGGAACATGCGATTCACATCATGGATGTAACTGTTTGATGCCGTCACGTCAACATGGACCTGAAATGAAGACATGAGGAATTACAGCAGGTGGGAAGGGAACATTAGATTTAACCTGGTATAGTGAGATGTACCTAATAAAGTGGCATCATCAGAACAAGGTCTCCCTCAGATGATCTCATATTGGGATTATCTCTTTCTAAAACAATTCTGATAACTGTAATGAAACTCTATCTTTCATCTCACCCCATTTATTTAGGCCGTGCAGCTAGAAATCGACCAGTAAATATAATTATTCTACTTTAATCATCCTCGCCTAACTTCATTCTAACTGCATTCATCTTTTAAACAGTTATGCTGAGAATATTCCTGCTCTTGCAGACTCTAACGTTGTAGATAAGCAAAGCTGTGACAGCCAGTGAATTACTTTTTAAATGAGAGATGATGGATATGCTGCTATATATTAGTGTCACTGCGGCTCTTTTGGTAAATGGTCAATGAACATATGAATTTGTGTCCTGTGTGATTAGGCAGATATGCAGTTCATTAGAAAGTCACTAAGATTTTCTTAATAATCATTGCACTTGTGCTGTGTCTCGTGCCAGGGTTAATTTCTTCCTGTCTGCCATGCTAAAGTACTCGAAATTAATTAGTCTTCGTGCATGGATTCAGAAAACACACTGCCCTGCATTTTAGTGGGCCTGATAGACAATAATCTATTAGAAAGGACTAACCTGAGTTAATGCTCACCTTTAGCAATTTTCCTCCTGTAAAGTCTCCGCACTAGTTCATGTGTAAACTGTGTTTGTGTGTGTGTGTTCTGGGTGTTTCAGGGTCCACTGTGTACACTTGTATGTTGAACAGAAGAGGGGGGGCTGAGGCTGATCTGACCGTGAGCAGATTGGAGCCTGGTGCTGCCAACCTGCCCCTGGCACCAGAGTCTGATGGTGAGACACACACTGGGATTCTTCATGTGAGAGGACTTTAACTACAGGAACAAAACAAACAAACGGAGGCCACACGGCGCAGGAATCCTTCCTTCTTATTGCTCTCTTGAATAAATTAAGACATGATTAAAACCTTATGGTCTTGTGAAGGCATAGGACACTCGATGTTCAAATTATAAGTAATCCCATGCTGTTACACAATCTAGTGTAATCTGTAAGGATTGTGTGTGATGGTGGGGACTCGGCTGCTACTACAAACAACTGGTACTCAGTATCTGTGAAATAAAATGTAACAATGTTTGTGTTTGCCACTGTCGATTAGCTGTTGTGGCCATCTTCTGTGGAGCCGAGTTCTGGAGCCAGTGATTCATTTGTTAGAGTTGCATGAAGCCCAGACCACACTGCATCCAAACGAATCCCTCGTCGTGAACAGAATTATGACAACAAACTGAACATGAGGGTGATTTGCAAGTCGTCCAGTGTGACCGACTCTGCAACAGCGTATTGAGTACTCTCACAACCAAAGTCAGCCTCCAACAGTCTTCAAGGACTGTTTGAAAACCTACGACTCCCGTCTGCAACCCACCAGCGAAATTACGTCCAGGGATTAACGTGAACAACTAGTGACAGGAGTAAAACACAAGAGTAGAATTAGTGAAGCTACATGCAGAAACATGTGGACCACTTCTTTTGGAGTTCAGTTAGAAAAAATAGTTTTAACAGTGGTGCTTTTTTTCCCTATTTTCACCTTTGTTTTGGTTAGCTGTCTTCTATTAGTGACGTTTGCTTTTTTGGGTGGGTGGGGGGGTGGGGGGGGGGGGGTCCTGCTAGAGCCAGACGTCGTGCATTTTGGCTCACTGAAGTCTTGCACCGTACAGTGTGCCACCTCTCTAGAGTGCTCACAGTGTGACATCATGACCAGTCCTGTGCGACAGCCGACAAACTTACAGTGTGGTACGGGCTTTAAGTAAGTTGCACATGACTCACTTTTTATCATCAGGCAAAAATCAAGTGGTTGATTGAAACCTGAGGTGATTTAAAGAGCGAGGAACACCTAAATAAGCTTTTCTTTGCTGATAGCCTGTATAGATGTCCGTTAGTTCTGTTGCACGTGCAATCATTATTTTTGCAGTTTAGTACCTAAAATAGGCTCCACCTGTACTGGCTGCACCTCCACCTGGCTCAACCACTCACCTGCTGATATGACCCGTTGGCGCTCGGAGCCGCTCGCCTCCTTAAAAATACATCCTCCTCCCCTTTCTCCTAGTGGTTGCAGCGAAGAGGAAATCCTCCTTTCTTCAGACAGTTTCGGTCTCTGATCTTTTCCTGAGGGGTGAATTTGCTCTTTGTGTGTGCGAGTGTTTATGTGCATGTTAACGACTCATTTTTCCAACTGAGAAACTCATAGGGGGGCATGGGAGTTTGCCCAACCAATCCACATGTGCTTTGTGGATTTGGAGAAGGCTTATGACCGTGTCCCCAGGGGCACCCTGTGGTGGACGCTCCAGGAGTATGGGGTGGGTGGCTTTCTGTTAAGGGCCATTCAGTCCCTTTACCAGAGGAGCGTGAGTTTGGTCCGCATAGCCGGTAGTAAGTCGGACCTGTTCCCAGTGAGGGTTGGACTCCGCCAGGGCTGCCCTTTGTCACCGGTTCTGTTCATCACTTTTATGGACAGAATTTCTAGACGCAGCCGTGGTGTAGAGTGTGTCGAGTTTGGTGGCAGGAGAATCTCGTCTCTGCTTTTTGCGGATGATGTGGTCCTCCTAGCTTCATCCAGCTCTGACCTTCAGCTCTTGCTGGGTAGGTTCGCGGCCGAATGTGAAGCGGCTGGGATGAGGATCAGCACCTCCAAATCTGAGACCATGGTTCTCGACCGGAAAAGGGTGGCTTGCCACCTCCGGGTCGGGGGAGAGGTCCTACCTCAAGTGGAGGAGTTTAAGTATCTCGGGGTCTTGTTCACGAGTGAGGGTAGGAGGGATCGGGAGATCGACAGGCGGATTGGTTCGGCGTCTGCAGTGATGCGGACGCTGAGCCGATCTGTCGTGGGGAAGAGGGAGCTGAGCCAGAAAGCCAGGCTCTCGATTTACCGGTCGATCTACGTCCCAATCCTCACCTATGGTCATGAGCTTTGGGTAATGACCGAAAGAACGAGATCGCGGATACAAGCGGCCGAAATGAGTTTCCTCCGTAGGGTGGCCGGGCTCAGCCTTAGAGATAGGGTGAGGAGCTCGGACATTCGGGAGGGACTCGGAGTAGAACCGTTGCTCCTCCGGATCGAAAGGAGCCAGTTGAGGTGGTTTGGGCATCTGGTCAGGATGCCTCCTGGACGCCTCCCCGGGGAGGTGTTTCGGGCATGTCCTGCCGGCAGAAGGCCCCCGGGTCGACCCAGGACACGTTGGAGAGGTTACATCTCCAATCTGGTCCGGGAACGCCTTGGGGAGGAGCTGGTGGACAAGGCCGGGGAGAGGACAGCCTGGAGCTCCCTAATTGGGATGCTGCCCCCGCGACCCAGAGGAGGAAGACGACGACGACGACGAGAAACTCATAGGTGGGGCTTGAGGTCAATCATTGCCTCAGTGCCATTCTCTCCGTCTTCCAGGCGACGCTTTTTCACAGGCATTTTTCTAACAGGAAGTCTGGTTGAAATAGGTCTCCACCCATGGTGTTACTCCCGCTTTAACCTCAACCTAACGCTGCCGTGTATTTATCTCCCGTATAATTTGAAGTTACAGTTTTATTAAATTAGTTAAGTTTATATCTATAGCACATTTTTTACAGTGCACACTGCCCCAAAGTGCTGTAAAATAAAACACAAACAATAAAAACACCCACTAAAATAAATATAATGAATGTGTGTATCCAGTGACATGAGAATGGTGGATAAAGTGTGTTTTTTATGCTTTTGAAGTGTGTTATTTTTGTATTTGTATCATCACCGCCTGCCTGTCCTCCAGGTGATGCATACTACCTGGCTGTTGGAGGTGGTGTTGCAGAACACAACTGGAACCACATCAGATCCGTCATCCAGGACCGAGGCTTCCGATGCCAGCTGACTGACCACTCCGAGGACATGGGAATGATCAGCATCCAGGGACCCAAAAGGTGTGGAAAATGAGGAGAAAGTTAAATGGAATATTTAGATTTTGGGTGTTTTTATGTGATTTGTGTGCTATGTGGATAAGGAAAGTAAAAAAAAAATGTTTTTTCAGGTATTTATTTATTATTAAGTAGAATGTATTCCAAGTTTGTGACTTTGTTCTTGCTTCCTACACCATTGCTTTGTTTTCCTAACCACAGAGCGAGCCAGGCCAACTTCACTTCTTCTTGATCTCATTCTCTGCTCACCTCCATCCCCCCACCCCACCCCACCCCTCCTCGATGCCATCCGTCTTTGTTCTTCTCTCTCAGAAGCAGCTGCAGGGTTTGTCCACCCCGTTCTCTGTGTGGGCTTCTGTCGATTTCTTTCCCCCGAGGCTTTTCTCATCTTCTGTTTTCCTAACTTTCTTTTTCTCTTCCTTGGTTGAGATCGTATCAATCTCCTTATCTATCTTCTCCCCCTTTTGTTCCCTCCTCACTCCCTGTTCTCAGGGTTCTTTCTCCATTCCGCTCAGGTCCAACTAGGTGTAAATGTGTCACTTTGTGTGTGTGTGTGTGTGTGTGTGTGTGTGTGTGTGTGTGTGTGTGTGTGTGTGTGTGTTCGTTCATAGGTCTCTTACACAAAAGTTGGCATCTTGTGTTGTTTCTGGCGACGCACTTGTATAATTATGTAAAACATGTTTGAGGATCTACGGGAAATTACTCATGTAGTTTTGGGCTTTTATTTCCTCAAGGATCAAATCGATCCATGCAGAGCAGGAGTAGATTACGGGTGTTTACAGAAAACCTCTGGAGTTTTTCTCTCTAAGATGATTCAGTCAAATCTTCAGCTGACAGAAGTCTTAAAACTTGCAGATTTTCTTCCATGCTGCTCCAAAATATGCTTGTTATGGAAAAAAAATTCCGAGCCGATGAGACACAATAAAAGAGAGAACATTCTGTCTCTTGTATTATTTATGTCCATAGGCATAGAGTCTCACTCTGTGAGCAGATCACAGAAATGAGCCCAGAAAGCAAGAATACGTACAGCTATATAGTCCAGAGTCACACACACACACACACACACACAGACAAAACAGCCCCCCCGCTCCTCTTTCTCCCAGGACCTGGCAGACATAATTCACGTCTCTAGCCAGGCATCAAGGCTATCTGAGAAGCAGGATGCATCTGTTCTGGACAGCTAAGTAAACAAAATCTAGTGTGGAAGGGTTCTGTCTGGACTACGGAGACATAAACTGCAAAAAGCACAACAAGTCACATGTATGACTTAAAAATTTCTATCAGATGCTGCATCAATCTGTTTTGTAACCAGATGTAAAACTGCATCCCAGAATCCACAGCTGATGAGTCTGAGAATGTGCACGCTCACTCATCGGCTGATTATAATAAAGCTACTTTGCTTTTGGGTTCAGTCAAGAATATGGATAAACTGAACAGCCTGTGCATCAGTGCTCACATGCTTACGCGCAAAATTTAAAAAGGGCTTCATAAAAATAAATATGTGCTTCCATTCCCACACATTTTCTACATTTATTACACATCGGTTGCTTTCTAGAAGAAAGGATTTGCAGAAAGATGCACACAACCCCAACCGTTCCACAAATATCTGCAGTCCTGGCTTCATGTCACACCATTTCAAAAATATCCCCTTTAAAAAAAATACTTCCCACTCACAAACACACCAGTCCACACGTAGAAATAAAATCTAAACTTTTTTTTTTATACTTGACTCATCTTTATGTAACAGTGCGGTTTTGGGATAGGTTTGTACTTGTTCTTAGAATTACAGTCTTACCATTTGGGAGACATGTTGGTGAAATGGGAACAAAAACAAAACTGTTCAGTTGCATTTAGCTTATTTATATAGCGCAAAATCAAGACGAGTCATCTCAAGGCATTTCCCAAAGAAATGCATTCCATTGAGTTCAGCTCATTAAGCCAGTTAGCTAAGTGTACTTTGTAAGGAAACCCAGCAGATTGCATCAAGTCACTAGCTACGTTTACATGCTCCAAATGTCTCCTATCTGATTCTTGGAAATCCCAAATCTCTGTTTATATGGACACTAACTGAAATGATCTGATCATGCCGTGAGTACACACATACGAAGCATTTAGTCAGATTTAATAGGTTCAGTTGCCTTTCCCCGGAAAAAAAAATGTAAACAAAGGTCATCTTGGCCACACATCTTTCCCCTTGCTTTTTATTTTCTTATTCTCCAGCTTTGTCCATTGACTTACGTTTTTTCCCCTCATTCTGGACCTTCTTCGCATTTTTACCTGTATGCTTTTGTATTTACTGTTCGCTTAACTAAGCTAACATACGTGACGCTACTGCTCCTCCGCCACAGGACAGGAGAGCAGAATGCCGTACTAATGATCACCCGCTCACACCGTACTCCAGCTCCAGACTTGCCCTGAGCATCTGCAACAGTGGAAAGACGTCATGCTGAAGTTGAACACATGCACAGTGGACATTATTTTACTCTGAGAATACGAAGGAATGTGTACATAGATGTCAATAGGAATGATGATCGGCCAAAACCACCTCTCCGAATGGGAATGGAATTTCATTCCGACTGGGCCGTATCGGATCAGAATATTCCGATTGACGTGTTCACATAAAAAAAATTTTGATCTGATAGGGCATTCATTCCCATTACTTGTACCCATGTGAAGGTAGCTGTTTACCGGTGTGTCAGTCTTTACAGCAATCCTCATACTAAGCAAGCATGTAGCGACAGTGGAGAGGAAAACCCCCTTTTAACAGGAAGAAACCTCCAGAGGATCCTGGCTCAGTATAAGCAGCCATCCGCCATGACTCACTGGGGGCTTGAGAAGACGGAACGCGTGCGCACACACACACACACACTTTTCTGATACTTGTACTTGTTTTATTTTTACAGTCGAGAGGTATTGCAGGAGGTTTTGGACTCAGACCTCGGCAACAACGCTTTCCCCTTCTCCACACACAAGGTCGTCAGTGCTGCAGGACATCAGGTGATGACACCAACACACACACACACGCACGCACGCACGCACGCACACGCACACACACACACACACACACACACACACACACACACACACACACACACACACACACACACACACACACACACACACACACACACACACACACACACACAGTGTCTAAACTCAATAACCAGATGCAAATCTGTGCAGGGGAAGTTGTTCATTGTTTCAGATGTTTATCATAACAAACATGATATTGCGTGCGTGAGTGTTGAGGGAGGCTAGACGGCACGTCTCAAGGTGTCTTTGCGACTTGCTTACGATCGTTTCTCCCACTTACACCTTTCTGTCTAGTGACTTGAAAGAGTTCATAAATTATGCTAATGAAAACATAGAAGGTTGCATACTTTCATGATGTTTTCCAGTAATATTCTGTACAGTGATTTGACCTTGTGCTTGTGACCCATAAAAAAACAACATGTTGTACAGATTCATGCAGCGACACATATGTTCACTCTGCTTCAGTCTGTTATAGTTGCTCGTGTGTGAATTATGCAACGTCTCGGTGATTGCATTCTGCATCTTCACACCACTCTGCAGGCCTGTGTGTGTGTGTGTGTGTGTGTGTGTGTGTGTGTGTGTGTGTGTGTGTGTGTGTGTGTGTGTGTGTGTGTGTGTGTGTGTGTGTGTGTGTGTGTGTGTGTGTGTGTGAGGCTTTTGCTGCTTTCCAGCTGGTTGTTGTTGGCCTCGTCTGGGCGACGATTCGGTGGCTGCAGTGCTGCGTGTGTTCCGAGCAGAGCTCCTCCTGCCCCTCTGCACCCCTCACAGCTCATTACTCTGTTTCCGTTTTCCCAAACTTGTCATCTGAAGCGGGTGCGCTGCTGGTGTGCTGGTTTGTTCATATGAATCTATGTTAGTATGTCTGATTTAGGCTGGTGAGAGCATGAGTGTTGTTGTGTAAGGGGCATGTGTCTACTCCAGCACATGCCATGATGTACCATCCTTCTCAAAGCTTCATGACGTCCATATGGGGCCCAGCATGACCCCTGAACCATGACTTGCTTTCATTGCACAGAATCAGACCTTGTGTGCATGGCAACGAAGCTTTTTTCTTTTCCGTTTCTGAATTCATCTTTGTAAACATTGGGCAGTTTCTAGAAGTTTCTCCATCCACACAAAACCAAAACTCTGACTTGTTCTGAGCAGGAAGGGTAATTTTACACAGAGCCCCAATTTGTAGTGAAGCTTTTCTCCCATAGTGCTGACCCTTTACAGGTCCATCTGGTGATTCATGTCATAGTTCAGCAGAAACAGAGTAACAAGTGGGAAAACACAGAAATACAAACTAAGCTGAAATAAAATTAAAATGTAGTTCAGGGGAATTTCAGGCCAGCATTTTTTTTATGACTTGGAAGTTTGGTTCTTCATATAAATGGAAATGCTGGAGATTCAGAAACAAGCTACGTTTTTGGCAATATTTCCTTTAGGATGTAAACATTTCTATAGTAATTTAAATCAGCCGAAAACGAAAGTCTTTACGAAGTGTTTAGGATTTTAAAGGGGCCATATCATGGATGTAATGTAGCAAGTCCATTACACAGGCTTTGGCTATGGTTGTAGGATAAATGAAACCAGGCTCAATAACAATTGTTTTAATGTTCATTTAAAAAGGGTGAAGCGTTTGGACCTGTAAGAAGAAGAGTTGGTATGAATATTGAGGATTTAAAGTGGTAAATGATGAAGTGTTTTTGTGCTTCTGGAGGTGTTCCAGCTAAAAGAGTCCCAGGGGAGCTGGAGCACCTAAAGAAGGTTTCAGAACATTCCATTCAGGAGGAATGGGAGGGGTGACCTGTGAAATTGCTCTAAGAAAGCAGATTAGTTTCATTGGATGTTTTTAGGATTAATTAAAGATGATTCTATTTTTGTATTGTAATTATTCAAAGAGATCTTAGAGATGAGGATGTATGGATAATTTAAGAATATGGAAGGATTGGATTTGTATTTACCTGTGTCTGGTTTTAGGATTGGACAGTTAGTCACACCTGTTATAAATACAGCTCTGTGTTTGTTGGAAGGGTGATGGATGGAGCGGCAGGCATGGATTTGTGCAGCCTAGATTTTAATTTTGTAAAAGGTAAATAAAATACACTTGGGTCTGCACGGCCTCCTCGGTATTCAGAATTACTTTTTCCTCCGGAGCGCATGAGGGTCTTCCTGACAAGTGCCCTCGGCGCCACAATGGAAAATCCACTTTTTGGAGCTTTTTACCGTTTTATTGTTATGTAAAGAAAAATTTGGCTGGCTCAGCCATATTGTAAGGAGAAACTGTCTTTACTTAGTTATATTGTTAAGAAGACTCAAAGGTTGTTTTCATCGATAAACTGACGATAATATCTGTGTGTCTGTGTTTCAGCTCAATGAGGAAACCAGTTTGACAATTAAAAGTTTTAATTCTACAAATTAAACTAATGATTTTGAAATTGACAAACAGGAAATAACAATCAACATTGGCAACTTTGTGGGACAATCTTTAACAGTTGATATGCTGTTCTTGCTCAAATAGACCTTCTGTCGGTGAATGAAGATTGAGAGTGATATGATGTGATTATGGATGCGTGTGTGTGCAAAGTGTAGTGAGAATTGAACATGAGGTGAGATGGATGCGTGTGTGTACCTGATTTTGCTTCAGGAAGAAACAGGTGTCTGAGTGAAGTGATGGTTTGGATAAACTTAGGTCTTATCAGAGAACTGCATCAAACGCTAAACACCGTGCTCTGTCTCACCGAACTCTTGTGGACCCTCTTTTGGATCCGGGCCGTGGAGGATGTTGTGGTTCATCCAGATGACACCGGCGGCTGACAGGGGAGACGTAGGTGTCGAACGGAACCGGTCCAGAGTTGCCCTCGGTACACGTGGATGGTAGAGTGTTTTGTCGATGCGCTTTCTTAAGTTAATTCACTCAGAAATCAAAAGACTCGGTAATGAGTCTGCGTTAGAAGTCGCGATTCAGCTATTCTGCCTGGCTTGGCAGGAACAGCGTGAGAGGGGGGGGGGGGGGAGAAACGAGCCAACCGGCTCCCCCCCTTTCAGCGGTTGTTCACACGTCCTCTCTCTTTCGTTGTCAAGCACGAACTGAAATCATAAGACTGAAACTTACCAAAAACCTTTCTCCTCTCAAAGCAAACGTGTGCGTCATCAAATGTGTTTTGGAGTTTACTGTGAGAATCTGTGTGTGGGTGTGTGTGAGTGTTTGTGTGCTTGAGTGTGTGAAGGTCGATAACAAACATTATTTAAGTATGGATTCATTAAGCCATTATAATTACCCAAAGCATAAGAACCATTCATTTGATTAAACACATTTATAATGAGCAAAATGATAATGGTTACTTTAACATTAAAATCAAGAAACAAAGTTTTAAGACTTGTTATGTTATGACTACTTTTATGGGAACAACATCTTCTGTGGGAACAACATCTTCTGGCACGAAGCTGCAGGTGGCAGATGTTATGGTTTCCTCCCAGACTCGCTGGCGTTCAGGTCTTAATCTGTGGGTGAAAGTTCTCAACGACCCAGCTTTGACCCAGCTGAGTCCAACACCACCATTGTGACAGAAAACCCATATTTCCTCACGTTACAGTTATTTCCTCATGAAAAAAACCCACACTCGTATTTTGCAGCATTTATGTCTTTTCCTGTTTCAGTTTGAGTTTTACTTTGAAAATCCTGTCTCGTCATCAGCCCTGCTCCTCTCCCAGAAGCTAGTCTCTGGTTTGAAACCTATCTACTCTGGCTAATGCAGAATGGCTTAGGCGACTGGCTTTATGTAACAGACTTGGTAGTCCAGTGGTTAAAGTGCTAGACAGGACACCTTTACCACTGGACTACCATAGCCAATATAACAACTGACTCACCTAGCACGCTGTTGTAGACGTGTTTTGTAGGAGCGGAAATGGGCGGAGCTTCACTGAAACAGACCGTTTCCTTTCTAAGTATAAATTCAGGCTGACGAAAATAACTCGTATTTATAGTAAATGACATCTCGGTAGTGCCAACGTTAATATTTTATCATAAACTTTGCCTACCTTTGCTCTCAAATATTTAAAATGGCAGGATGTGGAACTTTTAATTCATCCTTTGCATTGTTTAATAGTGTTTTTGTCTTTTGAAACTTTTGAGAAAGTTGTTTGTTTTTCCAGATCTTCAGAAAGCAACATGAGTAAAGACTTATGCTTCGGTCATGGGATTAATACATGAATGGTCTTAGTTGGCGTTATTTCACTCACTCATCAGCAGGGCCGCTGCTGAGTGTTTGAAACCCGAAGAGGTGGACGACTTTCCCTTCAAAGCTTCAAAAAATTCTCCAAGCCCGAAACAAACTTTTCCCCTGTGGGTGGGGCCTCTTTTTAAAAAAAAAATCCTCATCTTTTCTTGACTTCCTCTTTCAGATTTGAATTAATTAATTTTATTTTAGAATTTCAAATCTTAACTGCCATTTTACTGTTGATTGTATTTGTGTAAATTATTCATGAATTGATTTTTTTTGTATATATTTTTTATTTTGTAACCATAACTACACTAAAAAGTTAGTATTACCACTTCTGAAAGAGCAACATTTAAACTCGATATTTTCTTTCTGAATGAAAACATGGAGCCACTTCACCTCTCACTCTTCCCTATTACAGTTTGTTCTCATCTCATCCTTGCCTCTCCTTGATCCTCATTCCTTTATGCTGATTCTTGTTTTTGCTGTGTGCAATATTTTTCCTAAACTGCACACAAGCACTAGACGAAGTGTGTCAGCTCCGCTCTTCTCTACATCCATCTCTCCTCCTCTCTAAAGCTCCTCTCTGCTCTGGCTGTCATCCAGGTTCGAGCGATGCGTCTGTCATTTGTCGGGGAGCTCGGATGGGAGCTGCACATTCCCAGAGACGCTTGTATTCCCGTCTACAGAGCTGTCATGGCTGCTGGTGCAAAGCACGGCATCATCAATTCAGGCTACAGAGCCATAGACTCCCTCAGCATAGAGAAGGGTAATGTAGCCTGCACATCATCCATTACAGATATTTAGATGGTCTGATTTTTTATGTGTACTCTTCTTCTGCTGCCGTTCTCTAGTTAGTTATCACCTGAAATTTGCAGCAACTTAACATAAGGCACGGTTCTCGGTATCTCCACATTCACTTTGTTGCTCTCATCCTCATCAGGCTACAGACACTGGCATGCTGACCTTCGCCCTGATGACACACCCTTGGAGGCGGGGCTCGGATTCACCTGCAAACTGAGGAGCTCCATCCCGTTTCAGGGGCGTGAGAGGCTGGAGAAGCAGAAGGAGGAGGGGCTGAAGAGGCACATCGTTTGCTTCACTATTGATGAGTCAGTAAACTCTGTAGGATGGCTGTGATCGGGTCATCACTGAAACATTAGCAAAATATGTCTAAATGGAGCTCAACTTTAATTCATTTTCTCTCCTTTCTTTCCTCTAAATCAGGAAAATACCAATGTTTGGTTTGGAGGCAGTTTTCCGCAACGGCGTTCCCGTTGGTCACCTTCGACGGGCTGATTATGGTTTTTTTATAGACAAAACAATCAGCTACGGATACATCCGCCACCCTGATGGAGGAGTGGTGAGAGCTTTACACACACACACACACACACACACACACACACACACACACACACACACACACACACACACACACACACACACACACACACACACACACACACACACACACACACACACACACACAAGATCACAACTTTTATTTATCTGTGACATTCATGTCTCGAAGGGTTTCTGCACTCTGCTGGTATTTTGTTCTTGTTTGTGTGAATGTGTTTTATATGACGATGTCTTTTAAAAATAACCTTGAAGCTATTTTTATTCTTTCTGCTTAAATTTATACGGTAAGTATTGTTAAGACAAATATAGCAGAGACTGAGTGGCAGATCAGTGGGAGAGCAAAAGGGAGAGAAAATGAGCTTCCTGTGTTTGTAACGTTCAACCTGTTCTGAGTCCAGCTGAGAGCACTTTGGAGCTTAGTCCTCCTAGTTTTACTTACAGCTTCTTTATTTCCCTCCATTAGGTGAGCTCTGATTTCATTAAAACTGGCGATTTCACCCTAGAGAGGATGGGAGTGACGTACAAGGCCACGGCCCACCTCAAGTCTCCGTTCGACCCTGAGAATAAACGTGTGAAAGGAATCTACAGCTGAACAAACTCGTGTAAAACACTCAGGTTAGGAAGTAATGTGAAAGGTAGAGATTTGCTGCTTTTTTCTCTACATTTGGTTTCATTTACACATCTCTGTCAGATACCAGGACTCCCTGATGTTTACTTTTCATAAAGGTGGATGTGGTAAAACAACTTGTTTTAAATCAAGTCTGATTAAAAGTTAACTGATTTTCTCATGAGATTATTAGCATTCAGATCAAAGGCAATAATAATAAATGAAACTGAAAAAAGCCATATAATGTTTCTTATTTTAGTGATAAACATAGTTTATGACCACCTGATTATAGATGTTTATTATTCTGACCAAATAACTCCTAAAAGGGTTTTTAAAAAGTGAATATCAGGCCACGGTTGCCCCAACGTTAAGATTTATTGCGTGTTTTAGCCAAGGAAAAGGCTCTCATAAAATAATTAAGCTTTTAATCATAAGTAAAGCTGTGTTCTGCCTTTACTTTGCCATTTATAATCAGATGATAAAAGTCCCATTAGTCGTCACAGACTAGTGAAATTTCAATCAATCAATCAAATTTATTTATGAAGTGCTTTTCATACAAGTGCAGCTCAAAGCACTTTACAATATTAAAAACAACCAGACAGCCCCTCCCACCCAGACTCACATACAAGATCCCCTGTGTATCTCCCTCCTCCCACCCTCACTCCCATCCCAAGTAGATGCAAACACACGCACACACACACACACACACACACGCACGCACGCACGCACACACACACACACACACACACACACACACACACACACACACACACACACACACACACACACATACACAAGGACTATTTAGAGAGACCAGTCAACCCGACAGCCATATTTTAGAACTGTGGGAGGAAGCCGGAATACCCGGAGAGAACCCACTCATGCACAGGGAGAACATGCAAACTCCAAGCAGAAAAACGTCTGGCTGGGATTCTAACTTTCTTTCTTGCTGCAAGGCAACAGTGCTAAGTACTGCGCCACTGTGCAGCCTACCGTTCAGGTCTTATGAATAAATGTGATTTTAAATCATACTATAGTTATTTTCCGTCTTGCTAGAAATGCATTTATGCAGATGACAAACCAATGTTCATGTATTGTTTTTCTAACAGCTTTTCTCTTCTTTCTTTCTGATTAGCTTCAACTCAGTCAAAACAACAAGTAATGCAACAAAAGACTAAAATTTGCTCATTAGCATAAAGATTTTATACAATTCTTACTTACAGTATTAATAATACTAATAAAAACTTGCACTTTACAATAAGGGTTCCTTTATTAAGTTTACTTTAGCAACTGCTTAGCATTAATGAAGGAACCCTTATTGTAAAGTATTACATGCTTGTTTTATATGAAGTATTAACATCTAAATGACCTTTAAAAAGCAGCAATTGATAGATTTATAGATTATTATAGATTTTATTCTATTGTCCTCAATCAGCTTTAAGCATCAGTAAAAATATCAACAAAACACCTAAAGTGTCTTAATAGTTGAATCTGTGTAGACAGCTTTATAGAAGTCACATGATCAATGTAGAATAAAGACAACAGGTTTTTATTACAGGTGCTCAGATGTTCAGTTTTTCCTCTTGTTTACACGAGTATCAGCCATCAGTTATGTTCTCCATAACTGTTTACACTAATCTACACAAACACACCTAAAGACTAAAAGCAGAGCTCATTTTGCACTTAAATCCTACAGCTGTAAAATGTTGTTTTTCCAACACAAAGCGTTTGCTAATTTAGAAGGATTCATCGACTCTGCACAGAATCCACTAATCATTCAAACTGCGGCTCTCAGGAGTGATTTATCTAGATTTATGCAGGAAATGTGGAACGCGCTGATGGAACTCGGCGGCATAAATGCACCCAGAGGTTTGTGTGTTTTTACATGAACTGTGTTTGTATAATTACCAGATTTACATTGGGGGATTATTGCAAATGATTAAATAGTTTCTCTGATGGACAAATAAATAGAATTTCTTCATAATGGTTTTTTAAAAATATGTTTCTCAAAAGTGATTCAATAATAAATTAACAGCTAATTATTTTAATGAATTTCTTATTGACGCGGACTAGATGTTTCTGTCTGAAATGACTTGTGCTTGAATAAAAAGCTGTTATAACTTAGTTATTTGTTTTTATTGTTCAACAGAAAACAAAAGTTCAGTGTGACATTACTTTCTTTTATAACACAGCATATGTAATATAAACTTAGTTGCTTCATGTAGAGATACTTGTTAGTAATTTTGAATGGAAACAGACGATCTCCATTTTCATTTCTTTAAAATGTGACCTGAATAGGACTGTTATTAGCCTAATGGGTATGCACTAATAATAAACACAGAGAGTGGGTGTGTGTACAGCCATGTAATTACAGCAAGAAGTGATGGAGACACTAAGACAAGCTGACTGACTTCACAGAAACTTCTGTTAAAAAGGGTTGCCACTCGTTTTCTTGGCTGAAACGAGCTGAAGCAGCTGCACAGCTTCAGCTGGCCGGTGTGGCTCCTCCCTCACATGGGAAACGAGGCTTTGCAAGGGTGGAGGTCACCTCGGGTACAGGCTGCTTTTCCCATTCACCCTGGAGAAACATATTATTTTGTTACCTTTTTGTTGTTGTAGTCAAGTGCAGAAAAATGTTAATGAAGATGCAAAAGGTCAATGTTCCAACCCTCCACTACAGCCAGGAGCTGTAGCTACAGACCACAAAAATGAATACAAGCAGCTAAGTGGCTGGGGAAGGAGCTCGGGTGTCTTGGACGAGCCCAGAGTAGCAGAACTGCTTTTCCACATCGATAGATATTTGAGCACTGGACTGCAGTGGGAGGACTGGGAGTTCCCGGGGATGACCTTAGATTTACCACAGCAGCTCTCTTCTGTAAGAGGTAGTTGTATTCTAATTTCTCCATTTGTGATGTCACAAAAGGGAGCTTTGTGAATCTGCTTGTTATGAGGCATATAGTTCCTGAAACCAAACTCTGACAGAAAATGGATGAACTGTTTTTTTATTTTAATTTAATTTTATTTTTTTTACTTTTGGAGTGTTTATACGAAGCCTAAAGGCTGAGGCACACTGGAGGCGGAGATTTTGAGAAGTCAAGTCGTCACACAGGATGTGCCGCTGAGCGCTTCTTCAAAAATGGCGCGCAATAGTCAGAACATCACGCAGCACTTGAGAACAGAAAGTGGGAAGAGATTCTTTTGCTTATACATGATCAGACTTGCCATTGTGTTTTGTGAGACTCTTAATTCATAAAAAATGGGCAAGTACGCTATTTATTTGAATATTTTAAGATTCATAGTACTTAAAAGTTATCAAAACTGCAGTTGAGTTTATGCCGTAAAGCCGTTCCGTGTCGTAATGTCTGTTGTAAAGTACTCCACAACGTCGTAAACAGCCGTCACGCCGCAGCACTTGAGATAAAACTGGCGCCTATCTTCAGAGCCTAGGCGCGGCACTTCTAGAACGTGGTGCGGTGCCCCCGTGTGCCCACTCGTCAACTATAATTGCTTCCATTTAAAATGACGGCGTGTCCACCTCCGGTGTGCCCCAGGCTTACATCACACCCATCTACCATGGGTCTCCAGAAGAAAGATAAAATAAACAGTGGTCAATGGGCAATAAATGTTATTTTCCCGTCTGTCATGTGCCATGGATTTCACATATGATGTCTGTGAATTCTAAAGACACATTCTGATGCAAAGAAAGTGCTTATTTTTCAATGGGGGCAAAGGTTACTTTAGTTTTTGTGTGAAAATACGTCCAGGTCTACAAATGTGCATCACTAAGTTGACGTCATTGCATCAGAAACGGAGAAAAGCAGAGGAATGGCTGTAAGTTCAGCAAACTTCGAGTCCTTCCATCTGGAGGAAAGGACCACCATAAATCTGGCCATTTGGTAAGTAGCAGCAATGCTAGAAGAGAGGAGATCTTGTGGTGAAGTCATACATGCGACGTGCCGATGTCTGATTTGTAGTCATGCTGATTATGAATTTTTACAAGCTGATAAATCTCAGAGTACGTAACTGGCGTGGTCGAAACATCCATCGTTACTTTTCATTTAGATTGAAATATAACACGTGTGATTCAGGGCGTAAAGCTTAGTTTATGCTTCTGCGTCAGCTCCACAAGCGAGACACATGCACTGACAGAGTTGTTTTGCTCTTGGAACTTCTCCGTTTTCTGGGGAGTGTTGCAAAGCAATTCCCCACCAGAACAACAGAGGGCGTAGCGCTGTTCTGGGGTATCCTGTCATCTATCCATCCAAGATGGTGCATATAATTGTGCTTATATTGTGTTTTTTGTATTTCAGATGCTTGTGGACAGGGATAAATTTGTCCCTCGTTCTCCTCCACCTCTTCATGCTCCACTACCTCTAAACCCACATTTCCTGTCATTTCCATCCACGAATAAAACTCTTGCTGTGTATCTTTTTACTCTTCCGGTCACAGGTGAATAAAACATTCACATTTTTAGTTTATCCACAAGGTATTCTTCAAGCTGCTCCGTGTCTGCCACTAGATATTTTTGGCTTTCTTTATGTCTTTGAAGGTGCAATGGCGGCACTGTTGACAAAAGCACCGTCCTGACCAATCACAAGTTTGTGCTCTCCATTTCGTTTGACCGATTAGTGACCCCAAAAGTGGGCTCAACTCCGTCCGTCCTTGTGAGCCTCCTGGTGAGCCCTCACAAGAATGGCTAATGGTATAAACTAGGCTTTAGGCAAAGCGGATTAGAAAATAGCTCTTTTAGCCCCGTTGACTTGCATTCATTTTTTTTGTTCTTCCGTGAGCCAACCGGAAAGGGAGGAGACTTAAGGTTGGTTTATGCTTGACGCGTCTGCGAGGTCCGCACGGCTCCGCGCGGAAAAGTAGCGTCATTTTGCGTCATTTTAACAACCACGCCCCTCCACCGCGTCTCCGCACGGCCCAGAATTTCCGCAACGCGCACCTCGGAAAATTTCTAACCACGCGGACGGACGGACGCGAAAAAACATGGCAGACCGGCAAGAACTAGTACGGCAGAGGTTCGTAATTACAGACATTTGTATGATTCAGCTCTCAGAGATCACCGTGATCAACATGTTGTTAATAATTCTTGGAGAGAAATCGCTCGCACTGTCGGAAACGACGAGAACGCTGTTAAAAATGCTGAAATGCCATGTTGTAAACAGTAATTTCTACTTCTACTATGGTGTAGTGTTGGATGCATGCCGTAGAGCTCCATGCTGCCCCCTACAGTTTGGGAAAATATTGGCTCACCGCAGAGACGAGCCGCACGAACCATAAACACTGCGAGTTGTGAAGCGCGTTCCATCCGCGAGCCGCATCACCGCGCGGAAAGTGAATGCGTCAAGCATAAACCAAGCTTAAGGCTCCCTATATATGCAGTAGAGGCACATGACAGCGCAAAAGGATGCAGATGGTGAGTTTTGCATAATAAGTTTCCTTTTAACTGTAACCAAAGAAACCGTTTTTCAAATAAGTGGCATAATATAGAAGTGTAAATGACTGAATGGACCGAATATGACATCTGGTTAGGTTTGAAACAGTGAACCCTGATCAAAGCCTTCATGTTTGTAAGTGGATAATTTTTTCGAGGGATTTATAAAAGTTTGCATCTGCTGTTGAAAGGGTAACTGGCTGAGTTTTGACTCACTGGGAAGAGGCGAGCGATCGACTGGTTGCAGTGCATGGAGATGGGAGCTGTATTGTAAAGAGAATCCAGCACTTCTACAGTAAATCCATCCCAGTGGAGCTGAGAGAACTGCTCAGTCACACCGACTTCCCCACACACACACTGATCGTTCCCATTGAACCTGATGAGAGGAAGGAAGGTCAATAGAAGATGGTGACCGTGTGAGGTGCAGAAAACTAAACCTGCTGAGTAATGTGACGTTCAGAGGAAGCTGCAAAATGGGGAAAAACAGAAACAGGGACCTGTTGATGAAGTTGAAGTATTTCTGCAGGAATCCGGGGTCAACGTGGCTCTTGCAGAGCTCCAGCTGAGTCCGAGGGTAATAGTGAATGTAGTTAACACACATCTCCTCCATGATGCCGAAACCTCCCTGAGAACACAATAGAGTTAAAGGAATATTCTACTCTTAAGTGAACTTTAGTCTGTTGCTATATTACCCAGAGTTCGATAAGTGGGAAAAAGCATTTTGCAACCAGCCTAGTCATTCTAATCTGGCAATATTCTGTTAGCTTTAGCTTAGCATAAACAATGTAAGTGAATAGTAACAACTAGCACCACTGTAAGTCACTGCTGCAAGGCACAAGGGCATGACACAGTAACAATTATTAAAAGTAACCACCTGTACATTGTTACAATGAAGTGGCTTGATGTCTGGCAGACATGGTCACTTCCAATTTTACAACATTGACCAGATTTTACCCTAATGGTGGTAAATGAGTTTTGGAGCTGCTGCGTCGCGTCCTTGTGCCTTGCAGCGACACCTTGCAGCGGTGCTTTGTCCTTGTGAAGTACCAAGTTATTTAAGCCTCCTGTAATTCCTCCTTGTTACTTATTATTTTAATTTGCAGTTCATATGATTATCAAGGTCACCAAGAAAATTTAGGATCATTATTTTGTCATTTATTTTGACTTTTTTATATGAGATGCTAGTTGTTACCATTCATTTACATTGTTTATGCTAAGCTAAAGCTAATGGAAAACTGCTCGATCAGGAGAATGCTATTTTCCTCACATATCTAAGTCTGGGGGAAATGGTAGTAACACACTGAATTTCATTCGGGTGGAATATCCCTTTGAGATAAAACAACGAGTATGCAGAAAATTAGATGCATGCCATTTAATTTGAAATGAAAAAACATACTATTGTCTCACCACTGTTGGCTTGCTCCTGTCCTCGGTGTTATAAGTACACTTGGTGATAAGGACGTCACCCTGCAGGTTCACACAGACACCCGCATCTATTTACTTTTAACAGGCATATTTTTTGATGATTCATGAAACATTTTTTCAGTAACACCACTGGTGCCCAGGTTGCTCTGGGAGGTGTTCAGCTGGGTTTTGCCTGTTTGTGGGGAATTCCCAATCTAGTTTCAGATTTTACTGCCTCCCCCTGTTTGTGCTCAAATTAGGCCCCTTAGAGCAGCAGCAAGGTATTTGTTACAGCGGTTGCTGTTTGTCCCAGAAATCTGAAGCTGCAGATGATAAGTGATTTTCCTCCTCCTCCTACCTGCACAGCTGCACTCACTTGGACTGATCACCTCCTGAGCAACATAATCCGGTTTTACAGGACCATAGCGTTTGCAAAACGGGATTTGCCGTGGCTCCCTGCGGAGGATTAAGGTCGTTTATAAGATCAAACCGTAGCGGTAATGTGGCGCAATCGTGGCAATTTTATAAAAGATTAGGTGATGGCGGCATAAAGTGGGTATGGGGGCGGTCTCTGGGCTGCCGCAGACTTCCATTTATCTTGGACATAACTTGCTTTTTATTGCGATTGAAGCCGTGATCGTTAACTTTTTTTAACAAGCAGCTCCTAAAGGTGTCTGTCCTCGTCAGTCCCTGTGCAGTCTCTGGTGATCTGAGCTTCAGCTCTAACAGAGAGGCTCATGGAGCGCTGCGGCGCTCCAGTTTGCCATCTTAGCTGAGTTTGTTCAAAAAGCAAACCTTTTTGCCTGTGTTTACTTTCATTTTCAATACATTTGCCAGCCGGAGCTCAGCAATAACTCCCCACGCCATCATGACATCTGCCTCTGTTGCACCAGGGCACATACGACAGACCATTACCGCAATATTACTACCAAGCGAGGCGGAGCGAATGCCGCAAAATTCGAGCAACGGCATGCCGGCGTGGCGCGTTTATAGACATACCATTACGGTAATATTATGCCGATTTGCTGGCATGGTGTGTCTTATAAAAAAGGCTAAATGGAGAGCTGCCAGGAGGAAGGGAGAGAGGAGGGCTCCCGATGTGGGGTTGCGGTTGGAGGGGCAGGACTTGGAATGGGTGTCAGTGTATAGGTACTTCGGCATGTGGTTGGATGAGAGACTGATGTGGAAGGTGCATGCGCGGGGCTTGGTAACCAGGTGTGGCCACATTCTGAATGTTATTAGGTGTCTGGCCGGGTCAGACTGGGGGGTGGACAGAGCCACCTTGATGTTGGTTTATGAGGGTATGTTCAGGTCGGCCTTATATTATGGAGGTTTCCTGTATGGCTCGGCTGCGCCTTCGACCCTGAAGCAGCAGGATGTGTTGCAGGCAGCGGCTGTGAGGGTGTGTACTAGGGCGTTTCAGTCGTCCTTGGGGGAAGCCCTTCTTGTTGAAGCTGGGGACATCTCTTTGGAGTTTCGGGGGGGTTCGCGTGGGAGGGGGTTATTTCTGGTTGGTAGGTCACCCAAATGGTAGGTGTGAGTGTGGAGATCTGGAGACGGTTGGGCACATTCTTCTGAGCTGTGGCCGATACGCGGTGGAGTGGCAGACTTTGTTTGGGGTTTTGGGTGCATTGGGGGAGACTGTGTTCAGTGTGAGGACTTTACTGAAAGTAGTGGAGAGGCGCAGAGTGGAGGAGTTGTTACGTTTTCTACAGGCAGTAGGAGTCGATGAAAGGCTGTAACTAGGTATGGCTGTAGGCTGTTGCTGCGGCAGCAATACGCCACAAGGCGTCCAGCCCACCTTACCCAAAGAAGAAGAAAGAAGGGAGAGACTGGATCTGTGCCAGTTCTTTCACCTGCTCCATTTGTTTGTGTTTCAATGGCTTTTAAAAGGGTTTTAGTTGTTTGAGCTTGGTGACGCTTAAGAGCTTTTAGAGGGTTTTAACAGACGAGGGACCAGAGAGCTGGTTTCCTCTTTGGCTCCCAAACTTGGGAATAGCTAGTGGACTTTGTGAGTGATTGGGAGCATTTCGATGTCGGTTTTAAACATAAACCCATGGCCGTTTTAACAATGTGATTTAAATACTGTTAGATTTGGAGCTTTGCGTCTTTTTAAAATCATAAAATAAAAGCATTGTTTACAGTTTTAACACCTGAAGCACATGCCTCTGTGTTACTCCCGGTCCTTCCTTTTTCCACCTTTTAGAGGACATAACATGTTCTAATGCAATACTCTAAATGCAAACAGGGAGGAGAATAAATCTGGGGCAGCACCGTCTAGAAGCCATCAGCTGAGTTTGCAAAGGTATAAAATTCCCATTCTTGTCAAGAAAATCTACACAGTGAAATGTTTCAATTGCAAACTCCCACATAAATGTTATATACTTACTTGTAAAGCATTCACCATTTTCCTTAGAACTCTGATTGGCTGTGAGAAAACAGAAAGAAAATCTGTAAAATAAAAAAACTACAGAAATCATCCAACTCATTAGAGATTCATGATTAGAATTTAGAATTCTGATCTATTTAATCCATCCATCTATGGATATTTAATATGAACAGAAAATATTCGTTCAATCATCAAAATCCGTGTCTCCAAGTAGCATGTTCATTTTAACCCTCATTTAAAAAATGGCCATAAAACTGTATTCTTGAGACGTCTATGTGGATAAAACCATTTAGACATTTCTGTTAAAATAAAAACAACGGTCACTAAAGTTACTTGAAATTGACAACAGAATTTTTCTCTTGACTGCGTGAAACTCAGCTATTGAAAATCAGACAATACTTTTGAATTCTAGGTCAGAACAATAATACAATAAAAATATGATTGGCAGTCCCCCTTCTAGGGTGTGTTGTGTAATTCTCAGGCATCTAATCAGTCAGTTTGCCTTTTTATTATTGGTGAATGGTAGTCACAGTGCTGTTTGGTGTGATGGTGTACCACACTAAACAAGGACAACCCCTGAGTTGTCTCAGGAGGTTAGAAAGACAATTACTGACAAAGGTGTCCAAGGTAAAGTTCAGAAGACCATTTGTTCTGACCCTGTAGGTCGTTTTGTGTCTGATCACGTTTAATCTGATGCGTCTGGTTGATAAGAAAAATATGGAACACCTTTCCCCACAGGCACTTCAGGGTTTCTCAGTAAATCAGATTTAATTAACTTTTGCATGTTTGTTAAAGCAGATAATAAAAAAGGACACATTCATTTGCTTAAATGCATTTAGACAAACAAAGTTTCAAGTGGGTAAATGCATCAGCTCTCCGTTTTTCAGACGCATCCATTTGGAAACGAGCCCTAGGACATGGAAGACCTTTGGTTATGTTCTGGGTCTGCTTCTGTGCAGGTTCAATGAAATCTCCAAGCATTCTGGAGTGAAATGTGCTGCCCAGTTTCAGAAAGTTCTTTTCTCAGATAGCAGATAGAGGTCCAGCAACAATATAATGAACCAAAACATGAATAAAAGCAACCATGACAAATGTTTAGTGACCTATGAGCCCTAACCTGTTAAACCTTCATGGAAGGAGATGAAACAGTCTGGAAAAGTTTTCTCTTGTCAGTTTGTCAAAATATCTGCGGACAGGTGCAGAAGTCTCACAGGTTCAGCAATCAAGCTTTAAAATGTTATGGGTAGCATCTTTTTCATTCAGTTCAGTTTGATCAATTAGCTATTTTTATTATTATTATATAATAATAAAAATAATGAAATTATTCAGTCATTTTTTATTTATTCCTTTCTTCTGCTTCCTGTTACTTCTTTGACCATTGTGGGTTTTTCTTTCTTGGCAGTAACATCCACCTCTACAGATCTGACAAGGTAAAAGGTCTATTTGATCCGCAGAGGTCAGCCTGATAAATCCATCATTTGTCTGAAGAAGCTACAGACTTTGAATCATTGACTGCTGCTGGGGGTCCAGACAGATGACAGATCTCCTCTGAACCATCATGTACCTGCTTGCCTCTGATATTTGATATGAATAAAGCACAGCCGATGCCAGCTGTCGTCTGTCAAAAAAGTTGTTTGTTTGGACGAGGAGAAGACATACTTGTCTTTGCATTTGTGGCTCTGGAGATTGCAGAGCTGAGCCTGATGAGGTCTAAAAATTCAAATTCAATTCTAAAATACTTTATTAATCCCAGAGGGAAATTGATTGCTGTAGTAGCTCAGAATAAAAAGAATAATCAAGTCATCAAAGAGTTATTGTATATTACAATGGCTGTTGGCAGGAAGGATCTCCAGTAGCGGTCAGTGTTGCAGCGAAACTGAAGAAGCCTCTGACTGAAGACACTCTTCCGTTGTCGGACAGTCTTGTGAAGAGAATGCTCAGGGTTGTCCATCATTTTCTTGATTCTCTGGAGAATCCTTCTTTGCATTATCTCCTCCAGTGGTTCCACAGTCGTCCCCAGAACAGATCCAGCCCTTTTTATTAGGCTGTTGAGCCTTTTCAGGTCTCTGCTTCTGATGCTACTACCCCAACAGACGATGGATGAAGAGATTACACTCTCAACAACAGACTTGTAGAAGATCTGCAGCATCTTTCTACAGACATTGAAGGACCTAAGCATCCTCAAGAAGTGCAGTCTGCTGTGTCCCTTCTTGTAAACTGCTTCGCTGTTCTTTCTCCAGTCCAGTCTGTTGTCCAGGTGAACACCAAGGTATTTGTATTCCTCAACCATCTCCACTTCTTCTCCCATGATGGAAACAGTGTTTGACTCCACCCTGTTTCTTCTGAAGTCTAAAATCATGACTTACTCACCTGATATTCTGCACTGAAGTGCTGGTCATCCTGCACCACCTCCAGCTCAACCCCCTCTCTCACCAGGACTGTCCTCACTCCACGGCCTGCCAGGTGTGTGTGCAGCTGGGACGCAAATATATAGATCCCCCCTGGAGGCAACGCCTAACGACACAATCCAAGTGAGATTTTCTGTAATCTTGGACTAAGTAAAAAAACTTTTACATAATTTACCAAGAGCTTTTTGTGTTGTAATCATACATGTACAGATATTTTTTACACTTACGGCCTGGGTGCACTTGGATGTGCAGTACCCAGTGAGGTAGAAGATGGGTTGTTTTGGAGGGATGGCCATGATGGGGGTGTAAACGAGGCCCAGCTCCATGATTCCTGCGTCATATCGCCTCAGGCTGGGGGTGTAATGCAGCCGAATTCCAGATGAATCACGCCGGCCTGCATGAAAAACACCCAGATATGAACGTTTCACATGCAGCAACTTTAATGTGTGTTGAAAATGTAAAAAAAAAAACAAAAGTTCAATTGCCAGAATAATCTAACATCTTTGAAAGGAATATAGACTTCAGAGGTCTTTGCATCCCGCAGGAGCAGATTTCTGAAGTGGATTACTCAACTAGTCCTGCAGTAAATATGTTTGGAAATTTCTGTGATTTAGAACTAACTAAAAAACAAGTTAAAGGGGACAAAAAAGACCTAAGAACACAAAATGATGACTTTCCTGCGACAAATATTCTAACCAAAAGGGTTCTTGCTTGGCTGAATCATTTACTTTACATTAGAAGAAGCTAACTTTGACCAATTTCCTCAGTTTTGTTTTAGGTATAACTGTAGTTTCTCTTATGCTGCATAATAAACGCATCTAAGCATTCAGTGGTATTTAAAGAATAAAAATTACAGAAATGAAATGGTGATGCTAAGGTATTTTAATGCACCACAGGTAAAAAGGAAGAAGAGAACAAGACAAAACTGATGAAGCAGTGTCTCTGAGGAAAGTTGCTAACATAGTCTGCTACTGTTACAGCTGCTGTAAGAGAAAAGCCTTGCATGTGGTGCAGCAGGTTAAGTATTCATGTGTGTACTTTATGTACCAGATATGAGGAGAGGGTTGTGGTAATGGACTTCAAGACGAAGAAACCTTGAAGAACCAGGTCCGCCCATCGCCAGTCCTGCATCAGGGGGATAGTAAAAAGCCTACACACACACAGGAAAGTATGCATAAAAAATAAGACTACCATATGATTTATATAGGAGCATTCACATGGAATTTTTGTTTATTTTAACGTGTTTTAGTAGCCGAAGGAGTACATTTCACAGTAAAGGAGTATTTTATGATAAATTAAACTACAATCTCTTCAGGCTGTTAAAATTGTCTAAAATATTTCAATAATATAAATGTTTCTCTCTTTTTAATTTTTTGCTATAAAAGATTAATTTAACTTGTTAGAAGTTGATGCCTTCACAGATGACCCCAAGAGCCTTGCAAAATCTAAAGCTGCAACAGGTTATGAAATATTTTCAATATTTATCACAGAAAACCACCTTCAATGAACGCTTCCAAGTGATTTAGGACAGAAACCTTTGCAGGCAACAAATTAAAGGTCCGACCAAAAAAAAATTTCTAATAAATTCTTCTCTCATTTATGAAATAATCACATTTTCAAATGATTCATACACTCGTTTTTAGTAAATGTGCAGTCTAATATAAATGAATGCCTGGTAAGTCATTTCCTTTGGATAAAAATCTGTGGCGCTCACGTTTCAGGAAGTGGAAATTAGGCCTGGAATACTTGCTTTTTAACGATGCGTACACAATTTTAAAATGGCTGCCTTGCGTAACTTGCCTTGATTTGAAGCCTTGATTTGAAGCGTTGTTTCTCCGCGATCCCCAAAATTAATGCCACGCATCTGCACGCTGCAATACGCAGGCTGAGTTGACAAAACAAGCGTGACACACTTACCATGCAGTTGTCTCAAATAAACCAGTTGCTGATCTCTAGTACTGCCGTTTGTTTTGGTTGCACCCACAAACCCGGTACTCTAGTCTGTGTACTGGGCCTCTAGTGGAACGTGCAGTGTAGCAGCAAGAATGTGAACAAAGCTGCTGTCTGCAAGCTTAGTCTAAGGTTGAGGAACAGAAAACATCAGGAATTGGAGTCTTGTTTTCATGATATTTGGACATCTTGCCTCTGACAGCACAACTCTTCCACTGCCTCCTTTCATCCTGCAATGTTGATGCATTATTATGGTATAGATTTCATTTATGCTATCCATTTGTCACGGTCTGGGGTTTTTTCACACACTAATTGGTGTAGAGTCTCATCTCTCCTCTGCAGGTGGGCGTGCCTGGAAGTGGGGAGGCTGCAGGTAATCTGCTGATTAGCTGGCCAGGGATATTTAAGCTCCTGAGAGACGCCTTCACTTCGCTGGATGATTAACTCAACTTGGATATCACCTATCAGTTCACCTCGTTTGCTGCTACCAACCTGGTTTCTTCACTGTCCACTCGTCTCTCAGCGTCCTCCTCTGGTCTTCCCACTCCAGGCTGCCCACCCTCCCTCCTGGATCACCATTACCCTTCATGCTCAGCTCCCTCCTCATTTGGACTCCAAGCTCATCAGCCTCCAGTAAGCCTCCTGCCCTCCCCAGACCGGTCACTCCTCCCTCTCTCACGAGGTCTCACCTCCAACCTGTAAGTTCCATCAGATCCAACATTCAGATTTCCGAGTGCCAGACCTAACTCTCCCTGTTCCTCCAGGATCCTCCACACCCGAACCTCGCTTCTCTGCCGAATACTGCTAGACTTCCTAGCAGCTCCTTCTGTTCTCCTTTACTAATAAATTATTGTTTGCGATCTTCTTTGACTCTGTGGACTGATTCTGTATGTCGTGGGTTAGGCATCTACCACACAACATGACAGAATCATCCAGCCAGAATCCTAACCTCAGTACCGAATCTGTTCCACCTGTTATCACCGAAACCTTATCACAACACAGTTTAGCCCTTCATTCCCTCACCAAACAACTGTCAGACGCTAACCAGACTCTGTTTCAGTTGGGTGTGATGGTTAAACAATTAAGTGAACAGCTCACCAATCCGGAACCCTCTGCTCCTCCAGCTCCGAGTCCGCCCGGACCCGTTACCTCGGCACCATCCATCCCGCCCAACTTCCGGGTTGCCTTGTCTCCTCCCCCCGAGACGTTCGACGGGGATCGAAACGTTTGTAGAGGTTTCCTCCTCCAGTGTAACTTGGCTTTCCAACGCTCCCCGGAGTCTTTTGCAACCGACGCAGCCAAGATTTCCTACATTGTCGGATTACTGCGTGGCAAGGCCCTCAGGTGGGCAGAAGCCAAGAGCCGCTCTCCGAACTTCCTTGCGGGCCCATTTACTGAGTTTTTATCCGAGTTTAACTTGACATTTGACAAATCCGAGCCCGCCTCAGAGCTAGCTAAACGGCTCTGGAACCTCCGCCAAGGCAAGCAATCAGTGGCTGACTTCGCCGTCGAGTTTAGGACCCTGGCATCGGCTTCCACTCTCGACGAGGATTCATTAAAAGGGGCGTTTTCACAAGCCTTAAACGAGCGCCTCCAAGACCAGCTGGCTTTCTGCCAGGAACCCACAAACCTGGAGAACTTGATAATGCTCTGCAACCGGATCGAGAGGAGACTGAATGACCGTCATAAAGGTAACAATTCGTTTTTTCATCTTCAGACCCATACTCAGTCCAGGGCGGCCCAACCAGCACCATCCTCTCTCCCCAGCGAACCCATGCAGTTGGGCCGGGCTAGACTAAGCCAGGAGGAACGAGATAAAAGAATGAGATCTGGTCTTTGTTTGTACTGTGGCCTAGCTGGCCATTTCGTGTCTGACTGTCCCAAGACTTTAAACTCCAGAGCCCACCAGTAGAACCTAGGATACTGGTGGGCGGTTCATCTGCACTCATGAAGTCTCGGTGCGCTTTAGACTGTTCTTTAACCTTCAGTAAAACCTCAATATCCACCCGAGCCCTGATTGACTCTGGATGTGAACAGAACCTATTAGACCAACTACTAGTTGATCGGCTCGGCATAACCACTATTCCACTCGAGGCCCCAACGAGGGTTGTTTCTTTAGATGGCAGTTTCCTAACCTCTATAACCCATAAAACTGTTCCGGTTAACCTCTCGATCTCTGGCAATCATCATGAATCACTGACCTTTTTTGTTTTTCCATGTCACCAGTCAGAAATCGTCTTGGGGCATCCCTGGTTAAGTCTCCACAATCCCCGCATCAACTTGGTGTCTATCAGGGTGGAGGAAGGGAGCAATCAATGTCACGTTACCTGTCTGGGCACAGCTCGAATCCGCTCTGAGTGCAGAACCCCTGAACAACCACCTCCCGATCTCACTGGTGTCCCCAAGGAATATTTCGACCTACTGCAGGTATTTTCAAAGGATAAAGCTTCCTCCTTACCCCCCATAGGCCTTTTGATTGTGCTATAGACTTGTTTCCTGGAGCTCCTCTTCCATCTAGCCGTCTCTACAACATCTCAAGACCAGAACGTGAGTGTATGGAAAAATACATCTCAGAATCACTCTCAGCTGGCATAATCCGACCATCTACATCCCCTCTGGGAGCGGGGTTCTTCTTTGTTACAAAGAAGGATGGCACTCTCCGACCATGTATCGACTATCGAGGACTCAACCAGATAACAGTAAGAAACAAATATCCATTACCTTTGTTATCGTCAACCTTTGAGCCTGTACAAGATGCCTCCATCTTCACCAAACTCGACCTGAGGAACGCATACCACCTCGTCCGAATAAAGGAGGGTGATGAATGGAAGACGGCATTTAAGACACCAGTGGGACATTTCGGTGAGAAAATGGCGGACGTAGCAGGCAGCGAGGCATCAGCTCCTGGTCCAGTTCCTAAACTATCTCGACTAAAACCAGAGGTGTATAGGACGACAGATGGAAAGGTGATTGTGGAGGATGAACTTCTTAATTTCCTTGCTGTTAAAATTAAAACCTTGAGCCAGGATGAAATTGTGTTGTTGGCCACGAACACATTTGAATCTGAGGGGATTGAAGCTTCAAAAAAAGTTCTGTTTGAGCTCTGCCCGAGTACTTCACAGCGGTGCGTCGGATATAAAGGGCAGCACAAAGACGCCAATAATATCAAGCTCTGCCTTAAAGTGCTGAATGAGTGTGGGGAAAATATCCCTAGATTTGTATCCCATCACTTGGAGGATTTACCACCTGTTACATTCTCCAGCCTGGATGTATGCTGTTTGCTGCGGCGGATGGAGCAATTGTGTACGGAGGTTAGTGCTTTGAAACACGTAGCCAAACTTCAGGCAGATGTCTGTGAGCAAGTTCGGGCTGAAGCTGGAGAAATTAACCAGCGAGTGGCCGCACTGGAGCGTCAGTCAGGCGACCTGGCTGGTTCTGCTATTCTAAAAGGGCAGGGACCAAGGACGGGTCCTTTTCTGCATCCGAGTAATAACTCAGAGGAGCGGCTGGAGAGTAATGGCGGCCTGGCCGAGAGGCAGGGAGTTGGCGTTTTGGCTGACCAGAGGATCGGGATGGGCCCTGTGGAGGCATGCGCCTCTGTGACTTCACGGAGTGGTGAAGATCGGACTTTGTTAGCGGCCTCTGGTTCTGCGTTTACAATGAATATGGTGGAACCGGAGCCTCTCACACGCTCCCCACAGTGGAGTACAGTCGTGAAGAAGGGCAGGCCTCGTCAGAAGCCGGAGAAGGTTGCTGCAGGGATGCATGTTCCTTCCGCGACTAGACATAACAAGAGGCGTGGAGCCGGATCTATTATTGGCACTGGAACTGTGAGTACTATAAAAACTGTAAAGACAAAAGTAGTGACTGTGTTCGCCACTAAATTTGCCCCAGAAGTTGATGCAGAAACGCTCTCATTGTATCTTAAAGAGAAACTTAACAGATACGTCACCTGTCTGAAAATTGTTAATTTACGGAGCAGATTTGGCTCCTTTAAGGTTACGGCTGAGTGTGATGACATTGGTGAAATGTATAACCCTGAGCTTTGGCCTGAAGGGGCTCTGGTCAGACGGTATTATGAACCACAGAACCCCCGCTCTCTCCGCTCTGCTAATGTGTCTCCAGCAGGGGATGTTCCCCCTGGCCCAAGCACCTCAGCATAAGCATGTCTCTTCGGGTGCTATCCTATAATTGTCGTGG